GCACCGCCGCCCCTTTGTCTGCGCCGCCGCCGCCGCCGCACCGAGCGGCCGCCGCCGCGGGAGCGGAGCGGGGGGGGCAGCGCGGCGGGGCGGGGCGGGCGGCGGCACCGCGAGCTCTGCCGGCGGTGCGACCCGCGGTATGGCGCCCCCTGCTGGGAGCCGCCGGTACAGCGCCTCGCGGCCCGGCCCTGTACTGCCCCGCGCGGTTTGGCGCCCCCTGGCGGCCTGAGCGTGCGGCACGGTGGGGTATTTTCGGAGCGGCAGCGCCGTGCCCGCGTTTGGGTCCCCGATGCCCCGGGTCGCGGTGCGCAGATTGAGATGGCTCTTTTGTGTTTGGCTGTGTGGGTGCCCAGCTGGCCCCACGGTGCCCTTTGGGGTGCCCCGAGGTGCCCGCTCTGGGGTGACCGCATGGCTCCAGGGTGCCTGGTTGTGATGTCCCTGTTTTGCGGCACTTAAAGACGTGGTTTGTCGGCGTGGTGGGGATGGGCTGACGGTTGGACTCAGTGATCTTAGAGGTCTTTTTCAACGTGAACAATCTGCAAGTGTTCCCAGCGCCCCCTCCCACGCCACCACCTGGCCCCGGCCCCAGCTTCCACGGTGTGCTGGCCAGGGGCTGCCTGTCCCCCCGCTGTCCCTGAGGAGCACTGAAGCGTTGGGTGAAGCTTTATTGCCGATGCGGTGGCCGCGGTGTACAGACCACGAGCGAGGCTTTGCACCAGGGCAGGCACTGCGGCCCCAAACGTATGCCCGTGGTTGGTGGAGTGACACTGTGGGTGACACTACAGGTGACAGTGTTATCCCTTGCTGCTATCCCCCCCCAAAGTTCCATGGATCACTCAGTCCCTGCATGGAGACAAATGTCTGCTAAGAGAGGTCAGGTCATGTCCTGCAGGGGTGGTGGGACAGCCCTGGGGTCACCCCCAGCTGTGTCCCCCTCTCCTGCTCCAGCTCTTCCCAAATCCCACCCCTACACCACCCAATGTTCACCCCATCACCCTCCTGGCCACGCGGGGACCCCATGGGGACACACACCATGGCCACGTCCCCATGACCCGCCTGTCCCCATCTGCTCGCCTCAGGCTGGATGGGGCTGGGGGATGCAGCCCCTCAGTGCACCCCTGGCCCCGTGGCACCCCCAGCCCCGTTGTCACCTCCCTTCTGCCCCTTTCCCTGCATTGGGGTGGGATGTGGCAGCGGACACTCAGCCAATCCCTCCCCATCCCTCCTCAGCGTCCCCAAGCAGTGCGGGGCACGGTGCTGGCAACAGAAAGAGCTTGAGGGATCACAACTGTACAAACAATAAATACGAGGTCTTTCTCACGCGCCGTGGCCAACAACCACGCCGGCCCTCCTCGGGCCCGGCCCTTCCTCCATCAGTCCCAGAGAGATCGCTGCTCCTCGGCGTCGGTCACTGCAGGGTCCCCAAGGGCTCATCACGGCGAGAGTCACGAGGAAGGCGAGCGTCTCTCTCCCTACTGCAGCAGCTTTGGTAGTTCCACCTGCCGGAGGAAACGTCCCGTTACTCAGCATGGATCGGTGGTGGAGGCTGATGGGGTCTGGTGAGCCTATGCTGCTGGGGGCGCTCAGAGCTCTGGGGTCACTGCTCCTTCCTGGCCAGGCTCTGGTTGTCCCCGTGCCTCAGGGCGGCGTGGTCGGGGACACAAAGTGCCTTGGGAAAGGGAGGCTTTGCGCCACGATGGATCTCCTGACCCCTTGTGCCTAAAAGGGACGGATCCCCTGACTCCACACAGCATCTCCTGACCCCACGCGCCCTCCTGGGGACTGTGCCGAGGGATGGATCCGCCCGCCCTGTGTGCTCAGCAAAGGGATTTGGGTCTGTCCCTGACCCGTGCTCTGCACAGGGACCGTGGGCCCCGCGCTGCTCCCAGCACTGTCTGCCGCACCACCAGAACGACCTCAGCCAGCACATCAACCCCGCGGTGCTGCTCGCTGTTGGCCCCACTGCACCCCACACTCACCTTCTTGAGCTGTTTGAGGTTGCTGGAGCGGATGGCCGCCAGCAGTTGATCTCGTGAGCTCTTCTCCTGCATGGGCACCCGGTCCCCCATCTTCCTCTGCGTGGCCGGCGACAGCGAGTTCCTCAGATTCTCGTTGATCAGCGGCGGGGCGAGGGGAGGAGGAGGGGGGGGTGGCGCGGCGGGGGCTCCCCCCTTCTTGGGAGAGTTTTTGGGGGACGCTTTTGGGGACGGCTGAGGGGATCCCTTGGGGGACCCCTTCGGGGCTCCGGCCTTGGGCACCTCCAGCAGATCCTTCTTCTCGCCGCGCTCCTGCGCCAGCTTCTGCTCCTGGAGGCGCTTCTGCCTCTGCCTGTCCATGTTGCGGCTCAGCAGGTTGGTGACGGTCATGCGGGGCCCGGCCAGCTCGAAGTGGTAGCCCAGCTTGAGCAGCGTGGTGTTCTCCTTCAGCAGCTTGGCGATCTCCATCTCCGTTTTGCCCCCGCAAATGTGCCGCTGGTTGTGGAAGCGCAGCTCCGTCAGCGTGTCGTTCTGCAGCAGCGCCCGGAAAATGGCCAGGATGCCTTTCCCCGTGATGTGGTTGGAGTCCAGGTTGATGCTGGTCAGCACCTTGTTGGACTTCAGCATGATGGCGATGGCGAAAGCCACGTGGTCGTCGGCGCGGGTGTTGGCCAACGCAAACAGCTTGACCACGGTGTTGAACTCCAGCGCCTCGGTGAAGCGCACCAAGGTCTCGTTGTTGATGCAGTCCGAGTTGTTCACGTTCACCTCGGTGACCTCGGCGTCGTTGTTCTTCACCTTCTCGATGAGCTCGTCGAAGATGCTCGAGGCCTCGTCCTCCTTGGGCTGCTCCGGGGCGCTGCTGGGGGCGGCCGTGGAGCTGCTCTGCGCTGCCGCCTTGGGCTCCTCCTTCCCCTCTGCTGCCACCTTGGGCTGCGGTTTCTCCTTCTCATCTGCCTTGGGTTTTTTCGAAGCGGAGCTCTTTTCCTCTTCTTTTTTATCTTTGTCTTTCTTCTCTTCACCTTTCTTGTTCTTTTCTGCCTCTTTCTTTGATTCCGAGCTCTTCTCTTCCTCCTTTTTGTCCTTCTCTGTGCCCTTCTTCAATGCCGACTTCTTTTCTTCTTCCTTTTTGTCCTTCTCTGTCTCTTTCTTTGCTGCTGAGCCCTTCTCTTCCTCCTTTTTATCCTTCCCTGCAGCCTTCTTCAGCGCTGAGCCCTTTTCCTCCTCCTGTTTATCTTTCCCCACATCCTTCTTTAATGCTGAGCCCCTTTCTTCCTTTTTGTCCTTCTCCGCACCCTTCTTTGCTATTGGACCCTTCCCTTCCTCCTTCTTGTCTTTGCCCATCAGCTTGTTTTCCATGGCCTTCACCTTGTCATTGATGGCTTTCCTGTCCTTGGTTTTGCTCTCAGCCTCCCCTTTAGTTTTCGGCTCCATCTTTTGGGCACTTTCTTCCTTCTTAGGGTCTTTCCCCACTCCTGTATCGCGTTTCCTGGCCAGGTCTTTGGCAGGAGCTTCTTTTCCCTTTTCTTCTCCATTCTTGACATCTTTCTTCTCGTCCAGCCTGCTTTCCTAACAACAGAGGATCATGGAGGTGTTAGCAGGTCAGGCTCCCTGAGCTCCAGCCTCACCACCCAGCTCTCAGTCACATCCCAGACGTTACAGCCAGCATTGCTCTGCACAGCCCGGCCTTGGGAAGCCTCCCTACCCCCAGCTGGGTGCTCTCACACCACACTGCAGCTCCTGACTGTGTTTTGCAGAGCAAAACCAAACCCGGCTCCAGGGGAAGCCTTGCTGTGAGCGCCCCTACCAGGCAGAGACTGCAGGAGCCCAGGTTCACTTCCCCGTGTACCCGGAGCGATGCACAGCACTCACTTCCAGCAACAGCAGCACGACTGTGAGACCCCTCCACCCCATTGAGGGTGGTGCTATGAAGGATGCATCTGGCACAGGAGGATGCTCAGTGCTGGGGCCGAGCCTGCAGTGCAGGGCACAACCTGCAGCAAAGCCTGCAGCTGAGTTTGGCAATTTGGGCTTCCTTCTCCTCGCTCCACGCCTGGGGAGCGCGTGAGGGTCAGCGCTGTGCCTCGAACCCCCAAATAGCAGCCAGGTCCCAACAGCAGCCCCATCCCAGCCCTATGCCAGCCCTCTGGGACTGCTGGTTGGTGGGAAGAACTGGCCGGGCCAGCAGCAGGGACAGCGTGTACCTGGCGTGAGCACAGATGCCATCTGGGATGAAGCTGTTTGTTTAGCTAAGACGTTTCTTGGCTCCCCGGCGCGGAACCAGGGCAGGCGGCGCAGAGGCACGGAGCCACGTCCACAGCCCCAACGGTGGGGATGGATGGGGAACTGGGGGTTGCTGCTGCCTCACACGCTGAGCCCAGAGGTGCCTTTCGAAGGCGTTTGGAGATGTCCTGGGTTGGAAGTTTGGGGATGTCTGAGGATGAAAGTTCCTTGTGCAGCTTCCCGAGTTCCCCAGCTCTTTTTCTTCCACTCCTCAAGCTGCAGGCAGCAGCCCCAGCCCCACACCAAGGGCTCCAAAAAGCCTTCTCCTTTCCAGCCCGTGCTTGCAGCTCAGTGATGGGTTGGGGGCTCCCCGACTCCCCAGGACAAAGCAGAGTGAAGCCAAGAATGAGCAGATCTCGAAGAAAGGGAGGAAAACTGTGGAGAAGGAGCTGCAAAACCTTCCATACTTAGAGGAGGCAGTGGATTTCTCCAAATAAGACAAAACCAGAGTGAAATAATCAGCCCTGCAAGGCGAAGCCGTCTCTCTTATCTTGTTATCACATCGTTAGTGCTGTTATCATTAAAGCAACTGTGCCCTGATCTGCCCCCACGTGTCCAGAGCAGAGGGAAAGGGGAGGGGGAAGGTGAAATGGAAAGGGAAGGGAAGGGGAAAGGAGGGATGCACGCGTTCCCTGCTCCTCCCTTTGCCTCCTGCAGCGTGGCCTGGGCCATCCCCACAGCCCCTCCATGGCCATCTGCAGCCCATATTTACCTCGGGCACCCAGGGACAGGCGCTCAGCACCCCTCTGTGCCATTCCCTCCGCTGCAAGCATGATTATTAGCGGAATATTTTTACACTGCGTGTCAGACCTTTAAAAATAAGCCTAATGAAAACAGCCTGGTACCGGGCTGATTAATCACCAGTGTTTTGATGAACTGAAATGCCTTCCCGTTTCCTCTAAATAGACTAAAATGAGCATTGCCATTGCTTGTTAGCATTTGCAACCCTCAAACCCACTCAGATGCTTCCTTAAAAGGCAAAGCAGGCCAGGAACTTCTTGCCTGGAATCTGAGCGCTCGCAGCCCAGTGAGAGCAGATGGAACCGGGCTGCACGCTGAGCCCTGTGCTGAGCTGCCGTGGGGCCGTGGGTGAGCAAAGGGCTGCACCCTGCACCTGGAGCCCCACCGCATGGGTTGGGGTGGAGAACAGCATGGATCTGAGTGTCTGGGACTGGGAGGTGGCAGGGATGGGGGGATTGCCCTGCTGAATTGGGTGCGTGGTGAGTGGGGGGCTCCTGGGGTGGGCTGGGGGTCACGGGGGCTCTCCAAACCCATGCCCAAATGGAGGGAGAGAGCAACTGGCACGGTGCTGCTGTTGCATCAGTCCCTGGCAGAAGGGAGCAGTAGAAATGCATTAGCAGAATAAATGTTTGGCTTTGGAGGGGGCCAGCACACAGCAACGAGCAGCTATTTGTGGAGGCATGTCCTGGGAAGAGGCACTCGTGGGCAGCATCACAGTGCTGGGCTGCTGCCTCGCTGCAGCGGCCACGTGCTCAGGGCACCAGCGAACACGGTGTGAGCCATGGGGAGCTGGGCCATGGGGAGCTGGGCCCCATCAACAACACGAGAGCAGACCAACTGTCAGCACTGCTGGGAAATGAGGATGGGCTCCAAAGGGGCTCCAGGTGCTGTTTGCTACGGGGGGCAATGAGGATGTGGGCTCTGAGCAAAGGGGCACGGTCCTGTGAGCAGCTGTGGGGGTGTCTGCTCTTGTGGAACACTGGGGGAGCACACGGCTCTCCTGCACAGCAGTGCAACAAGGGACAGCAGGAGCAGCTGAACTCTGTTAACCCAGGAACAAGTTTAGCGATGAGGGTGAACTTCTGCACATAAAGTGGATCCAGAGCCCAGGGGTCCCCTCGTGACTCTCCCTCCCCAGCAACAGAGCCATGGCTGAGCCATTTCTGCAGCCAACCCCCCTGCAGCCAACAGGACAGTTTTGCAGCCCATGGGAACTGTGCAAATCCCAAGTGGCAGAGGGGATTTGGGGGCAGGGAGCAGCACACGTCCTGCCTGCATGCAGCAGAGGCTGCAGGGCTTATCCACACTCCCATCTTGCAGCTCAGCCATGGGAGAAGGGGTGAGGGAGCTGGGCATAAGGCACGTGGAGCCCCCAGGACACAGGGATGTCCCCTGCTGTCCAAACGAAGCTTGTTTTGCCCTCGATGCTCCTGGGTATTCGGGTGCCATTACGCTCCAGGCATGCAGGAGGGCTGCTCTACCCAAGCTGATCCACATGAAGTGAGCCACGCTGCTCCCTTCCTGCACTCCCTGGTCAATGTTGAGTAACCAAAGACATTCCTGGACAAATGCAGCAACCCTGCCTGAGTCCGGAGAGCCACCGAGCCTGAGCTGTGAGCTGGGGTCATCTCCCATGATCTGTGCCCCCAGCACTGCCCTGCCTGCAGCTGTCCCTGTCCCCAGGCACTTTGGGGTTTTTTGGCACGAAGAAAGAGTGGGAGGTCCTGAGCACTGCCAAGGGATGCACATAAACCCAGCGTGACCCCCAGCGTGACGCACTGAGCGACGTGAACGGCTTCCTCCCCATCCCACCTCAGCCATCGCCGTCATTTCTGTGAGATGTCCCGTTGTCCCCTTCCCTTCTGGCCCATCCTTCCTGACCCCAGAGCTGGACACATCCTCACCCTTCCCAGGCCAATGCTCCTTCTGAGACACAGTGCTGTCCTCTGGGGACCGGCCGGCTCCTGGCCCTGATTTTTGCCTTGCTTTGCCTTCATTGGTGAATTACAGCAGATAACAAAAGCCTCCACGGCATTTCCCTGAGCAGCACAGCCCCATCTCGTCCACAGAGACACGCAGCCATTTCCCAAAGAGCCCTTAGAGCTGCTGGCTACTTTGCAAATGGGAAGTTTCATTCTCTGACAAAAGCTGGTTTTAGTAGCCTGGGTTTTCCTCTTCCATGCGTTGCTTCCCTGCACAGACCAAAGGGGAGTCCGAGGTTCTCAAGCTGAGGCCACTCTTCTGCTCATCCCCTCTCCAGCTGGGGCTGCAAGGGGCAAGGTGTGCATCTCCAAGCCCTCCTTTGGACGTTTCATTTGCACCAGGCTGAAGGAGGATTGAGGAGGACGATGAGCAGGAAGGGATGGAGCAGAGCATCGCGTCGTGCTGCCGCCTGTGGATGCCTCCTCCCTGCCAGGACCTGCATATGGAAGTCACTGGTGGCTGCTGGTGGCACCCAGCTGCTGTTCCCACCATGGCAAAACCTGGGGTGGGCAGCACGGCCGATCTGTAGCAGCTCTGAGCCACAGAGAGCATTGCAGCACACAAACGATGGTGTCACACTGCTAACGAGGGCGAGACGTCGCCGCCTGCAGCTCTTTTCCTGCTCCCTGCATCTCTTTATCAGCAAAACATAAACAGATAATAAAGCTCCCTGCCTGTGGCAGCTCGGCCCATATAAGCCCAACACTCCAAACATCTCCACGGGTTTGTCTGCATCCCTGTTGTGCTTTGTGTAAATACAGAGCTGCTGCTCCTGGCGGGGCTGCGGGCTGAGCAGAAGCACAGCACTTCTGCCACTCGTGCCCTTAGATGGGCCGGGTGCCTCGCAGGCACACAGCGCTCCTGGCACAACGGGAGCCTTGGGAAGAGAACCGTCCTGGAAACCGTGCTCCTCATGTGGCTGAGTGAAAGGCAGAGCCTGGGGGCAGCAGCGATCCTTGGGAGGGGGATGGGTCGATAAACAGAGCTCCAATCCAGCGGCGTTAGTCACAGAGCAGTAAGATGCTTCAGGAATGATACAACGCTGCTTCTCCTCGGTTACGATTCCCCTCGAGTCTGTCCTGGCTATACAAATCCACAGCTTGTTTTGTTCCCAGATAGTTCCACGAAAGAAAAACCAACCAGATTTGGCCATGAGTACGAAACCAAAATGCCAATTTGGTCCTCTGCAGTTTCACAGAAGCAGGGACCTCACCTGGCTGGGTACCACAAGCAGGGCACCATTTGTCCTCTGTGGTTAAACACCACCAGTGAGCCTCAGCCCGCATGTGCACAGCCCAGAAAGCAGGCAGGAGGGGCAGAGGGGTTTTTGGAAGACCACCTATGGAGCTTGGAAGAGGTGCTGCAAGGATTCCAGGTGACAGCAGCTCAGTTAATCACACTGCTCAAAGCCTCTGCTTCAAAACAACACCATCTTCCTGCCTGGTCTTCTCTCGCTGTGCCTTTGCTTGCTGCAGCAATTAGAGACCTCATTTACCCACTGATGAGCATTGCCAACCTGCCCTTCCCAGAGGCACAGGCAACGGTGCATCCGAGGAGCAGCACAGCACCAAGCACTCGCTGGCAATAGGAAATGAAGATTAATTAATTAATGCATCGCCCAGCTATGCATTTGGCTGTGCAGCGCAGAGAAGTCAGGGCAAAGCTCACATCTATTTTGGGCTGTTTATAAACCGCCTCCTAGTTACCCAAGTTTGCCCTTTTCATCACAGAGAAAGACGACGTGTTGTTGTGGAGTCACAATAAATCTGGACCTGCCTCCCCCCTCCCTGCCTTCAGGAGGGAATTGGGGTGCCTGGAGTGGCTCTGAAACTGACAAAAGGCCACAGGCAGAGCTGGGAGACCAGCAGGACCCAAATGTTTCCCCTTAAAACACCATGCTTCCCACTTTGGCAGAGTTCTGCACATCCTAATGCACAACGAGGGGAGGAAGGGACGGGCATCAGACCCTCGGTGGTCTGCAGCTCTCGGCTGAGGGAAGCCTCGCAGGCAGAGCTCTGGCAGCCCGGGGCAGTGAGCCAAGGAGGGGAGCTGTGTGTGGTGGGAATTGCTCCCCAGCCCACGCTGAGCACCGCATATAGAAGCCACGGCTGCGACGTCCTCACGGCCACGGAGAGCTGGGAGAGCTGCTTAACCCCTTGCGCAGGGCTCCAAAAGAAACCTGCCCTTCTCTTCTCTCCCTCTTTGCATCCCAGGCCAAGGTCGGGACTGGGGTTCCATAGCAGAACAGAATGGCACAACATCCTGAGCTGGAGGGGAACACCGGGATTACGGGCTGCATCCCAGGCTGCACACACTGCAGCACGCCACCGCTTCCCTGTCGCCTCCTTGTATCCCAACACAAGTTGTGGCTCGAGGATGAAAGCTCTGCTTGGTTTACTAGGCAACATGTGAGCTCCTTGCAAGGGACTGACCACTGGTGGGTTTAGGCTGACGTTAGGATCATATACATCATTCTGTGGGATGATGTTTCATTTCCCAGCCTGTTTCATAGCACCAGTTTCCAGCACATGAACCCAACGCCATCCACACACCGGTGAGCGCTGCCCTAACGAAGGGAAGATCCTGCTCAGCACGAAATAAACCACCCCAACCTGTCCCAGGAAACACGTACCACAGTTTCAAGATGTGAAGGGCTCCGTACAAACGAAGGAGTATTATTGTACCTTGAATTCCCTCTGTGACATGGAGAAATGGCCGAGAGTGAAACCAATCTTCTGCTACTTTCTGTACTGACTTCTGCTCTCAGCCACAAAAGGCTCATGCTGGTTATCACACTGCCTGTTACAACGATCTGATAAAAGCATTTCCTGGATGTGGTCTTTCAACAGAGTGTTACATGAGAAATGGAGCATCGTTTCCAAAATGCCACTGCCAGGTAGAGCTGAGGTTTCTCCCTTCGCCTTTCTGCCCAAGCACCATTGGAAGCAGAGCAGCTCGGAGCTGTGCACAGCTCTGCCCAAGCACAGATCTGCCCCTGCTCTGCAGGATCACTGCCTCGGTTCCCTCGTCCAGCACTCTGGTTCAGCCTGCTGTGGAAAGCGAGGGAAACCAAATGCTTCCCAGCCTCCCACGCACCGAGCACATAGCAAATATTCTTAGTGCTGAGGTCAATCAATGTTGCAGGGAAGCAGGACTGGCTGCCACCGAGGCAGGGCATGGCATGGGATGAAGGGCACGACATTTCCTCGCCCCAATGAAGATCTTGCAGGATTCACCCGACGCAGAGAAGGAGATAAATGGAACCCAAACCAAAATAAAAGAATGAGTTTTAGCTGGATGAAAAACAGGAAGGAAAGGGCTTAGGGCAAAACCTGCTTCCTGGGGCGATTCCCACCAAGCAGCAAACTTCTCCCCTGTTATTCCACATGGAACAGAGGTCGCTGAAGCCCCCAGCCCTGCGCAGAGGTCAGGAGCAGCCCCCTGACAGCAGCTTTGGCTTTCGGATAGCTCACAGAAGCCCCTCTTGGCTTCCAGCTCCCTGCCCCGACCCCCAGACTGCCCGCCGCTCCTCAGCAAGTGCCTTCAAACAGCTCTTACACACAGCCGTGCCCGAGGAGCAGCACGGTGTGTGGAGATGGGACTTACATCCACCGCCTGCTCCCTCTGCAGACGTTTCCTGGGCTCCTTCTCGTGGTGGTTGAGCACCGCGTCGCAGTTCTGCGTGCTGGACGGAGGGTTGTCTGCTTGGTTCTTCTCACTCTGCTCCATAGAGATGCTTCCATCAGAATCCACCACATCCAACTCCTTCTCCAGCTCCTCCATCTCCTCCGGACTCAGAGTGGACAGCAGGCTGTCGATGTCCGGATCTTCGCTCACCTGTCGCCGATATTTGGCGACTTTGGACATCTTGGCCCGTTGGCGAGACACGGTTGCGGTTGTTGTGGTACCCAAAGCAAGAGAAAAAAAAACAGAGCCGAGGCTCTCGAACTGCTTCCCACAGCGGCAGCAGGTGCTGAAGTGTTAAATCTCAGCTCCGCAGCCCGGGGTTCGGTGCGGATGGAGAGGGGACATCCCTCGGCCCAAGGGTTGGCCAATGGAGCCCAGCGGAGGCGGGGAATGGTGCTGTCGGGGGAGCCTGAAACCCGAGGACATTCCAGGGAACCATGCAGAGCTGCATGACCAAATTTAGTCCGGAGCATTTAGCCTTTTAAAGGCAATGGGCCAACGGAGTGAGAAAAACAGGCAAAAATGCACACAAGCTGGCAGGCTGGAGAGCTGGGGGTTGGGGGCACATCCCGGCCTGAGGGGAACAGGGTCAGCCTTGTCCCCAAGCTCCCCACTTACAGGAGGGCAGATTTTCAGGAGCTTGCTGTTGTGCTCCTGACAGCTCTCGGCTGAAATCAGCAGCACTGTGCCCACCCAGCCCTGAGCTCCTTCCATCCTTATCCCGCTGCTCCCCTGTCTGTGGGGTCAGCCCGCCAGGGAGGGGCTGCTGGAGGTGCTGATGCAGACTTCTTCCTGCACGCAGGATGTGCGAAGCCCAGGAGGCAGCAGCACTGCATGCCCACCCAGCTCAGCTCTGTGGGTCTGAGCCCAGCTCCGGCCCTGGGGTGCTCGGTCAGTGCTTCTGTACATTCCCCATCCTCTGCAGGGGTTTCTGCAGCTGCTCTTCATCACAGCTCTCCCATTCCCCTTTACCCAACCCCACAAACACCCCTCCTTCTGCACAGGCTGAATTCCAGACTGTCTTCTGTTTCTGGTTCAGGCAGTGCCTTAAGCCCAGGCTTTGCCTGGAGACACCTACTTTCCATTGACCTAATCCATACAGAAGCTTCCTGGCATCTGCAAGTTCTCCCAGGGGGACGTGGCAGATGTGCTCTTCCTCTCCATGTTTCAAAGCAGCTTTACCCCACACACAACATTTTGTACCCATTCCATACGCTGCCGGCTTCGCCCTTTTTCTTCATTCCTTATCAACCTCCTGGTATTTACTGCCTGCTCTCAGATCTCTCCTAGCCCATGCAAGCAGCCATCTGGTCTCCTCCACCAGAATGAGCTCTGCTAAGATTTTCCTCACCAGCCCAATTACCTCCCTGCTGTCTGATGGCTCAGACCTCACTCCCTGCACAGACATGGGGTGCTCCATGTCGGCCTCCCGGCGCCTCGTGCTGCAGCCCAGACATTCCCCATCTGGATGGGAAATGCAGGCTGCTTGCATTCTAGGATTTCTCTTATCTCCAGCGTTGCAGCGCTGGGCTCCTGCTCATAGCCTTCCTATGATTCAGACACACAACTGAAGTTTTTTTTTCCACACTGGGGAAGAAACCGCTGTTCCTCGTTTCCAAGTGCATAGCCTTAAACACTGTGCTACTGCATTTCATCCCATCACTCCTATCTCCCTGCTGCCCTGTGCTCCCCATCTGCACCGACAGGGAATGTTACATGCTCAGGAAACGCTGCCAGCACTCCTCAGACCTGTGCTAAGTGAAAATGTAAAGCTCTCCAACCAGACCGAGCAGGGAGGAACCCCAGTTCTGTCTCCTGCCGCTTTCTCCCTCTCCCTTCCTGCTGCTGAGCATGGGGTGGGCATCAGGGGGCTCTGCAGCCTCTGCTCTTATCGGGATTCCCATTCCCATAGCAACTGATCACCTCGCAGGCACTAACAACTATTTTCTCTGAAACACAGCAGTGTTGCCAGCCACGTCTCAGGGACGAAGATCCAACATGGAGTGAAGTGCCTTCTCCTGGCATGCCTGAGGGGCTCTGGCAGATCTCCCCAGACTCATTCCCAGCTGTGTTTCTGCCTTCTCTCCTGTCAGCTGGTAGAGCACAAATGAGAAATGGATGGATTCCTCCAAGCTGCTTTATCTGCCCCTTCCTTCAGAGCCTGGAGGAGGGAAGGTTGAGCCCCGATCTTTGCATTTCACAGCATGTCCCTGCAAAGCAAGCGGCATCTCCATGCTGCAGCTCTTCTCAGCCTTAAAAGTAGGAGCTGTTGAACCCCAAACCCCACCGCAGCCCCACACCAAAGCTCTCCTTGAAAAACATTTGCTCCCTTCCTGCAGCCTGCTCCATCTCACTGCTGTTCCCACCCCCAGCAGACAGGACAAGGCTGGGCAGACTGGAGAGCACGCCACAGGAACCCGCTAAGGTTCAACGAGGGCGATTGCAGGGTCCTACAGCTGTATCCATCAGCACACGTTGGGGGCTGAGCTCTGCAGAAAAGGACCTGGGGGTCCTGGCAGACCAATGGCAGACCAACGGTTGAGCAAAGCCAGGTTCCTGTGCAGCCTGTGGTAGGGTTGGAGTGGGGAGGTGGGCTGGGGGAGCCCCGGAGGTCCCCTCGAATCCTCAAGGCTCTGTTTCTCTGAGATTTCCCCATCCTTCCTTCTCCCAGAGCCACACCACCACCTCCTGGCGATGCCCACCACTGCAGCACCGCTTCCACGAGGACAAACATGGCAGCACCGCGCGGGGAGCTGCGTTTGCAAGGACTGCAGAGCTTCAGCCCGTCCCATCGCTCCAGCTTATGCTTCATTAGCGCAATTAAGGACCTCGCTACTACTCGGGGCTGGGTGTTGCACAGCTGGGTGATGTATAACTGGGTGCTGCACAGCTGTCAGCCCTCTTTCCCGCAGCCCGACGTCCTCAGCCGACCCTGAGATCACAGCCTGGTGATCATCCGCCCTCCCGAGTGCCCACGTCGGGTCGCACCCGGACGGGCGGTCGGAGCCGGGCACTAGGACCGCCCGCTGCCCTCCGCCTTCCGGGGGCGTGGCCAAAAGGGCACGGCGCACGCGCCGCTTCGACATCCGCCGCCCCGCCCTCTTCTCCGATTGGTCGGGGCGGGGAGGGGGGGGCGAGGGGCCAATCGCGGGGCGGCGGGGCGGGAGCGGCCGGCGGCGCGTGCGAAGATGGAGGAGTACGCGCGCGAGCCCTGGTGAGCGGCCGTTGGGTTTTGGCGGGCTGCGGCGCGCGCGCGGGCGGAGCGGGAATCTCTTGAGGGAGAATGGCGGCGGCTCCGGGAGCGGGGAGGCGGAGGGGGCGGGAGGTGACCTTGGCGCCGCCGCTGTCATGGCCGCCGCTTCCGGGCTGCGTCACTGCGGCACGCACGGGCCGTTTTCGCCGCCCTCCGGCGCGGAGCCGTTCCCCGACCCCCCTGCGGGGCTGCGGGCCGCCGCCGGGCCCCTCCTCCCCGCCTCCTCTCCTCTCCTCCTCTCCTCACAGCGCTTTCCCGCTCTGTGGGGCCTCCTGAGAGTCAGCGAAGCGGTTAACGCGAAGCACGCGATAACACGGAGTAACACCGCGGTGATCCCTTCAGGTTCCCTCCGCTGTGGGCGCTTTGTGTCAGCCCGGCCTCTGAGCACAGGGCGGGAGGCGGCTGTGCTGCTCTCAGAGCCGTTTTCTCCTTTAAAAGCCACGTATCACAGCCGGTTAATGTTTAAAAGCTGCTCCTGCGGAGGTCTGGGGGCGTTAAGGGGAAAACCTGAGGGTTTCTTTCATCTTACATCACAACCTGACAATAAAAGCCTGGGATCTCCCAGGTCCCGTCTGCATTAAGGGTTCTGCCATCCTGGGGCTGTGCTGCATTGATGTTGAGGGGGAAAGGAAGAGCTTCGCATCTGCTGCTTGGATTTCCAGCAAGCCTTTTAATGAGGTGGCTCTTAATGAGCTAACGAAGGCAGGGAGCTGTGAGGAGCTGTTTTATTCTTAACAGCGGATCAAAATCTGGGCAGGAGAGAGAAAAACACGGCGAGGAGTGAAGTGGAGGCTGCACATCTCAGCTCCAACTGCACGCAGGAAGCGGGGGATGGAGGGGTGAAAATAAAACATGGAACGGGGCTGCGTGGTGGGACTCCATCCAAACTGGGGGGGGATTTGTTAGGAATGGGAGATGGGAGCTGATGGCAGGCTGTGAAATGAAGGATGATGCACGGTGGGACAGCATTCCAACCTCCCGCAGCTGTCTGTGGGGCTGAGAACTTTGGAGGGTTTTTTTTCAGGTTAAAACAGCAAAACGTGCAGTGAGTGTTCAGGGGAAAAGGAGCAGGAGCATCACATGGAGAATGAGGTCAGAAAGGCACGCTGATGGCAGAACCTGTGAGCCCTGGCCTTGCCATGGCGTTCAGCTCCGTGTTTTGCTGGGGTTGCTGCTCTCTGCCCGGTGCTGCAGCCACCGGAGCGCTTGGCTTTTACTGTCAGGTTTTGATGTAAGATGAAAGAAACAAAACAGCTTGGTTTGTGCAAACGCTGCAGAATTCCCAGCAATGGGAGCACGGCTAATTGCACGGCTAATTGAGGCTGCTGCTCACGGGGAGCAGGAAAATCACAAAGCTCTCTTGCTTGGCAGCAGTGTTGAAGGGGATGCGAGCCCCACATGAAAGCTCATCTCTGCAGTTGAAAGCGTTTGCTGAGAGGAAGGTGCTGCTTGTTTGGGAGCATTTGACGCTCGGTGAAGTTGCCCTTTGGCAGCTCTGCATGGGTGTTGCTGTGTTTTGTTTTAATGAACTTCAAAGACCCTTGGATACATCAGAAAAACCTTCTCAGTTTAGCAACAGATGACTTTGAAGTCTTCCATTTCAATAACCAGAACTAAGGAAAAGGGTGAGGAACTCAGGAAAGCGGTGTTTTGTGCTTGCTGTGAACTGAGTCTTGTTTGAATTTGCCAGTCAAGTTCTCTGTAGGTCGTGAGAAGAAGAAAATTAAAGTTATAATACATCATTAGGGCAGAACCAGTTGTGAGCTGGAATTCTGCAGAGGTTTTCCATGGTGGAAATGCACCTCTGTGCCACGTGTGGGGAGTTCAAGCAGCTCTGTGCATCCGATGCTTCCTGCTGCAGGTTTGCTGAGCACCCAGCTGGTTTTGCTGCAGCATTTCCCCTGCTGGTGATGCTGCTCAGCAGCCGTGGGTGAAGCAGGGTGGGCAGTTGTGCTTCCTCGTGTTTCTTTTGGGTTCTGTGCCATCCGTTTGGATGGTGGTTTTCCCCCAGCAGTGCGCGATGGAACGCAGCGTTTCCATCTCTGTGTTTCTTTGCAGTCCCTGGAGGATTGTGGATGACTGCGGAGGTGCCTTCACCATGGGAGCGATTGGAGGTGGCATTTTCCAGGCCATCAAGGGCTTCAGGAATTCCCCAGTGGTGAGTAAAACCATTTGAGCAGCACGTTCAGAGTGCAGCTCTGCTTCCTCTGCCCATCAGCAGTGCAACCTGCCAGCAGAAGGGAAGGCAGAAGAAATCCTGATACACAGGGCTGGCTGGCGATGTAAACCTGCTCCCTCAGCCCAGTTCCTGCCTTTGCTTCTGGCTGCTGCACGGCAGAAGTGGAGCCTGGGCAGTTCTGCATCAGCTGCCACAGCCCTCTGCCTTCCTTTGAGAAGTGAGAGGGCTTAAAGGAGGAATCGTTCTTCAGAATTACGTGAGGGAATGTTGCTTTCTGTAATTAACCTCTTAATTAAACGTTAACGTTTCTTGTAACTCTATTTGAAAGTGGGTTTTTAAGTGCACAAATGGAACGTGGAGGTCAAGGTTTAGGTGGTGACAATCAGTTGTTTTCGCTTTCAAGTTTTCAGCTGCAAAATCTTGACTTCAAACGTGGTGCAGATGTTGATAAAAGTAATCCCCTGCTTCTACTTGAACGTGGCTTCTAAAACATTCCTCTGGCTGTTATAGGAAGGGCTTCAAAGGGATGAAAGGGCTTTTTGGTGTTGGTATGTGACAGCTTCATTGCCCGAAGCTCCTTAATAAGCCTTCAGTTCGAGGTGCATTTTGTGAATAAAATTCAGAACTTCTTCCAAAACGAGTCAGGTCCTGCTTCACACACGCAGGATTTGTGCTTTACCCCCTTTATTCTGCTTGAAACTCGTTAACTAAATCAGTCCATGCTTCCGAGTGCTCGCAGCTGAGACAAAGCTTGAGCGTGTGTAGCAGTAGTGCAGTGTAAGGGCGTGCAGATCTCATCCAGTTCAGTTCCCACCAAGAATGGTTGGAGGCAGTGTCTGATGGTGGTGCTTCGTTTCTGCAGCTTACAGGTGTTACGCAGATGTGGTAAGAACTAAAGGAGCTGTGAAAATGCAGTTTCTGTAAGCTCCTCATCGTGGTGCTGGGAAGCAGATGGTGCCCATGGCACGTTCTGGCAGCAAGACTTCATTCTTTCATTCTGTCCTCACTGTAGGGTGTAAACCACCGGCTGAGGGGAAGCCTGGCTGCTGTCAAAACGAGAGCTCCACAGCTGGGAGGTAAGTGATTCCTCACTCATGTTGTCTTGAATCGTGGTTTGGTAATGGTGGTTTGGTAATGGTGGTGGTGACGTGGCTGCAGTCCTGCAGGCTCGTCTGCTTTCTCTGAGCTGGTTCTGTTCTTCCCCCCATGTGCTCACAGGTAGCTTTGCTGTTTGGGGAGGTCTGTTCTCCATGATCGACTGCAGCATGGTCAGAATGAGGGGGAAGGAAGATCCGTGGAATTCAATCACGAGCGGAGCCCTAACTGGAGCCATCTTAGCTGCCAGAAGTAAGAAGTGGAGCTGTGGGGAGGGAGCTAACAGAAAGCTGCTGTTCCGACCTCTGTTACAGTGAAGCAGAGCTGTGTGATTCCCAAACTGGAATCGACTTGGGAAGAGGAATAGAAAAATCATCTTAGACTTGTGTTCCGTGCTTATGAAAGTAATAATTGTGTTCTCAAACATTACCGTTGTTCTGTTGTTTCCCTGAGGAAGGGGAGAGTTGCCTAGTAATTATTCCTTTAGCAGTGATACTAATGAGGCTTAATGAATGCAGTGTTTGCCCATAGGAGAGATTATAACTATAGAAAGAGAGCTGTAACGTGCAAAGTAATGCAACAGAAAAAGAAACAAGTGTTGTTCTGTGCTTTTATTTTTAGATGGACCTGTTGCCATGGTTGGATCTGCCGCAATGGGAGGAATTCTCCTGGCTTTAATTGAAGGGGCTGGCATTCTCTTAACAAGATTTGCCTCTGCACAGTTCCAGAACGGTAAGGAGCCCTGCAGCAGCACGAGGCTTTTGTTGTGCAGAGTTGGCTGATGTGCCCAGCTTCCAGTCTGTAAGAAGTCAAAGAAGAGTTGCTGATGCCACAACAGCTTTTGCATTTCCTCTCTGTGGTCTGGAGACACCCACACCGAAATGAGGTGGCAGGGTTGGCTGTCACTCAGCAGCATGAAGGTGTAGGAATCAGGGGGAGGGGGGGTGGAGGCTTCCAGGCACAGGGGAGCACAGGGCTTAGGAGGGAAGAGAGGTTTGTGTGAGCAAAATGTGCAGACCTGGGTGGTGTTATCAGAGCAGCACTGTAAGGCTGGGAGCAGGGCTGGGAGCCCATTCCAGTGGGGTGCTGGAGATGGAGCAGATACAGGCAGGATGTTCCAAACAGGGGCAGTGGTGATGATTGGATTTCCAGAAACTGGATCCGTTTTGTTTTCTAAGTGCAACACAAGCTGAGATGTCAGTGAGTCTGTAACCATTTATGTAAATACATGCCTGCCTGAAATAATTAATGCCTCTGTTGGCCCACCTCATTTTGAGAGGAATACGGACAAAACCTCTAGTGTTGAAAGGATTAGTGGCAAGCCTCTAATTCCTGGTAGGGTTCCTCTCAGGTTTGTTCACTGGCGTTCTTTGTTCTGTCTGAATTGGTGCAATTTCTGTAACAATTCGGGAATACAAAGGCTTTTTAAAATGAACCTGCTTCAGTGAAAGGGTATCATCTGTCTGTCACAGTTTATTCTCCTTAGGCTTGGCAGTAACAACATATTGCTTCCCTCAGCAGAATGTCAGTAAGGGAAGCTGATCCAGGACTTGTTCCATTTCACTGCCTTGCTTTATTGTGGGGCAAGTTACCGAGGAGAAACCTTGACAGAGTGGCTGGGTTCAGCTGCAGGGCAGGAAGGCAGAGGTTTCCAATGCCTTTCAGTGACTGAAAATGTTTCCCTCCCATTGTTGTGATTTGTTTTCTTAGAAGTAAAAGAGATTCAAGAAACAACTGTTCCTTATTGGAGCAGGTGTAAAGCTCTTGTAAGTCCCTCGTTGTTGGCTCCGTTCATTTCAGAAGGGATTTAGTTTAAAGACAAAGGCTGCGGTGTTTCCTGCTGCCATAGGAAGGAAGCCTTTTCTTTTCACAGCTTGATTTCTCTCTCTCCTCACCCTCAGGCCCTCAGCTCTCCGAAGACCCCTCGCAGCTGCAGCCCTCTCCATTTGGCGACTACAGGCAGTACCAGTGATCCCCGTTCTGTTAGTTCGAATTGTAGCTGAGCTTTAATTTAAAATGCTGGAGGATCAGAGCACGGTATGTCCTTACACCAGTGGTAGTCTCTTACACAAACCATGCCAAGAGGACTTCAGCACTTGGCAGTGCAAAGCTGCGCAGAACTTTTAGGAGATGACAGATCTATTTATTGGTAACAGATTCCATTGCTGTAACGTTAATACATGTCTGACAGAATACATGGAGATTTGAGATAAGGACCAAACGGAGTCTTGTAATCCTTTGGCCACGGGCTGAAGTGAATGTCTGTGAAGTCTTCTCTGGGATGTGGCATTTAACCCTTCCACATCTGGAAGTTACCCTCCTCCCTTTTGGATTTTGCCTGCTACCCACTTTCTGGATTGATGTTGCTACACAAATTTCGGCTTAAGGGAAAGTGTGAATCTGCGTGCAGGTTTACATTCCAGAAATGACTGTGACTGGAACGTGAAAGCAGAGAGCTCTGTGTGCTTGGAGGGTGAAGTGCACTGCACCTGCACGCGTGCTCTCAGCACAGGCTGTTGGCTTTTTGCTGTGGGTTGAGTCCTCTGAAGGTAGTGCAGTTCCATTGGCTCTGTTTTTGTTCTTAAGCTCCAGTTCTGGAGGCACGTTCCCCCTTGCCAACAGTTAAAAAAGAAACAAATTCATATCCAGTGGGGTTTTCTGTTGTAGGTCCTCCCTATAGGTCTGTTTATCAGGAAATGCCAGCAGGCAACAGCATTCAAAGGCTTGTTAGGATGATCCAGGGCAGAGCAGAGCTTTCCTTCTGCCCAGGAAGGAGCTCTGTACTGAGGTTACTGTCAGACTCATTCAGTAGGAGAGCATGAAAGCGGCACAGGAGTGCTGAGATGGGTGAATTGAGATTGTACAACGTGTGCATGCAAGTGCACATCCTGAACGTGACAGGGCTCCTACATCCTGCACAAGCAACATTTTCCTCTCCTGTTTCCACCTCCCTGCCTGTCCCACAGCCACTGCAGGGCTGCTTGCTGCTCTGGTGCCTTGCTGTTCCATGTTGCTGCTGTCCGTACTTCTTTCCAAGAATCTTTAGCTCAACAGCCTCCTGTTGTGAAGCTCGTCTTGCTCTGCCTCTTGCTTGCTTGCTCAAGTGAATTGTAAAGGATTGTCTCCATTTGTTATTGAGTGCTTGTTCTGTTCCTGACTGAGAGCCCAGCCACAGAGGAGCGAGTCCCTGGCAGGTGAGGGGAAATGGCAGCCGGATCCCTCATCAGTGCTGCACCTCCCCTGAGTATCCAAAGCTGCACGTTGATCACCAGATGTTTTCCTGTGCTCCTTATATAGGATCAGCACACTGAGTGTTCAGCGCTGTGCGCCTACCCTGGGCTGGGTCTCTGCCGCTCATCCTTGGCCCAGCCCTCGTGTCCCAGCACCGCCCTCCAGGCTGCGGGGGCAGGAGGTGACTTTGTTGGGGCTGGGGCCGTGCTGCCCAGGAGCCCCCAGCACCCCCAGCCTTTCCTGGGTGCAGTCAGGCTGGGCACGCAGCATCTGCTGCTCGGGGACTGCATTTAAGCAGCACCCTGACCACCTTGGGTGACCTCTCCCAGCAGCGTTTGGCTGGGAGCAACTTATGGAGGGGTTGGGGCGGGGGGTGTGCAGGATCTGCTGCTCCCTGCTTTGAGGCTCCATCTGAGCGTTGCATTTGGCAGCGCCCAAAGCCAGGCCAAACAGCCCCAAGAAGGGCCACCCCTTTCCCCTCCTCCCTCACTGCTGGGAGGCTGCGGGCTTCAGCCGCTCAGAAGAGCTTTATTCAGCTCAGCCCTTCCCCTCTAATCCCCGTCTGTGCCTCGGTCACTCTCACACCCCCCTCTGCACAAGGGCAAACCCCGATGTGAGCTGCTGCCCTTTGCTGCCCACGTTGCAGTGCTCCCCAGGTGACAGTGTGCGCTGGGCGGCCGGGAGCCCTGCAGGGCAGCTGACAGCTCTCTTCCCATTGCTGTGAGGAGGAAAGGCAGCAGGACCCCCTGCCCTGCAGTGCACCGGGGACGGCTTTCCTGCCCTGTCATCTCTGCAACAGCCACAAGCTTCCTGTTTCTGTGCTGTCCTGACTCACTCTGGCTGACAACTTGCAGGCAGCTCCCAGCTGTCCCTCACACTCGGGTGCTCACCCAGAGCAGCTCGTCCATCATCACCCCAAAAAACGAGACCAACACCACCGGCACGACACGGAACTATTGACCTCTTTATTTCAATCAGCTACAGCAGCTCTAATTCCCCTACAACACTGTCCTTCCTTCACTACCACAGACAGCGAGGGAGCCGAGTACACTGCGGTGGCAGCAAGTCTTCTTAAAGCTTAGTATTAAATATTAAATATTCTCTCATTTATGTTTACATTACTTTGTCAAGAAAAAAACAACAACAAAAAAAGACAATTAAAACTTAAGTTACGTGAAATCTGTGCCTGTGCCCTGGGCTGCAGCACCGGGGGCCACAGAGCTGCCCCCAGGAAGGCAACTCTGCTGGGAGGGGGATGCAAAACCTCCGGCCCTGGGCCCGGTGCCACGTGAGTGCTTGGGAAGGGAGTGCTGAGCAGTGCTGGGAGAGGAGCACTGCACCCCATGCTGTCAGAAACGGCCGTCTGAGGGCCGCCGTGCAGTCAGAGCTCTGTTTGGAGGAGGTGAGACCTCAGCAGGGCCGGCCTGGCCTCCCCTCAGCCCCACAAAGCGTGTGGGGAAAGGGGGGGGGGGGGGGATTGGTTTGGCAAAATTTTATTAAAAAATTTTTTTTTTTTTTTTTTTTTTTTTTTTTCTTCCTTAAAAAAAAACAACAAAAAAAAAAAAAAAAAAAATGATAACAAACAAATCCAACAACAACCCCAAACAGTTTCGAGTCTTCCTTTGATTTTAGCAAAGAGAGTTTAAAAAGCACTTAGGAAGCTTGTACTAAAACCAGGCGCTCTCAGAGCAGAGAGTCGTCTGTGCACCCCCCTTCGAGTCCATAGCGAAACTCCTGCAGGTTGGACACGCCGTAGAAGTGGACAAAGGCTGCAGCCACCACGAGCACGTGGAAGATCTGATGCGACTGGAACTGCAGGGAAGCAAGAAAACCCTTTGATCCGGGTGGAAGCGGGCAGAGCAGCGCTGGACAAACAGCTCCTCCACGCTGCTCAGCCACAACCCTGGGACTGCGCTCAGAGCTGCACTGCCTGCCTCCCTGGCTGCGTCACCTGCATGGTGCTGGGAGGCACCACCCGACTGAGACCCCCACCATCAGCTCCTCTCCTCAGGCCCTCAGCTCCCGAGGCACCCCGGCTCCCCTCACCCAACACTCACCCAGATGTCAAACTTGCCCGGGAAGAAGCGCTCAGGAATGCGGGCAGCGTACAGCCCTGCGCCCGTGATGTACATCACAGCCATGAGGAAGAACCAGCCCATCTGCCCGACCGTGGTGGCCTTCACGAACCCCTCGGCGATGGTGAAGTGCATGGTGGGCACCACGCCGCTCAGCCCCAGCCCCAGAAAGACACCTGCAGCAAGAGAGCAGCAAGAGGGAGCACACGTGAGGGGTGCAGCCCTGCTGCTGGAGTCGTTTGTTTGTTGAAGCTGCTTGGAGCTCAGGGGGAAGGTGCTAATTAGCAGCGTAGGAAATTTCAGCTGTCAAATTTAATCACATCAGCAGAGGGCTGACAGCACCACAGCAGGAGAGCAGTGCAGAGGGCTGCAGGTCGTCGTGGCAGCAGGAGGGCAGCCCTGCAGCAGCAGGCAGAGCAAAGCAGCTCTGTCCCTCAGCAGGCGGCTGCCGTCTGTGCCAGCACAGCCACACCAACGCTGTGCAGGTAATGGTGGGGCTGGCGCTCAGCCCTGGTCCCTGCCCCCTTCTTGACACAGCGCTGATGCGGGTGCAGGCACAGAGGCCTGCCCTGCAGCCTCCAGGACAGCAGGGGCACAGCAGCACGAGCTGGAGACCAGGAGGGAACCCATCCCTCTCTGGATGAGCTGCAGCTCCGCACTGCCAAACCACTTCCCAGATAATGAGCCTCTGTGTGGCGCAGCCTCAGGCCTCCCAGCCACTGCTTATAGGGTTATTTCTAAACACCGCCTGCCTGCTCCAAACCTCAGCCTTGCTCGGTGCCAAGAGGAGCTCAGGGCGGCCCTGCTCAGTGCAGGATCCAAATCTGCAGCTCAGCGAGAGGAGGGAGGAGGCCTCCCTGCTCCAGAGCAGCACGGTGCTCCGGGGGAATGCGGGCTGCAGGTGCTGGGAGCTCCTTGCAGTACCTGAGCCCTGCTTTAGCATGGAACCTGCAGCACAGCACCAGGTGCCTCCCCAGCACGGCTCCTCCCTGCGGCAGGGGACTCAGATGAGCACGGAGCGCTCCTACCTGCTCTTGTCTGCCGGTGCTTGGGGGTGGCAAAGCGGTCCCACTGAGCAACAATGATGGCAGAGATGCCCAGGACGCAGACAATGGAGAGGTAGATGAGTCTTGGCTGCGGGGAGCAGTAGAACGAATAGTAGAGCCAGGGGACGAAGCTCCCCATGATCAGCAGTGCAATTCCTGAATAATCCAACCTGCAGCCAGGGTGCAAGGAGAGATACACGCGGGTGAGCCCCAAATCTGCCCCCTCCTGCATCCTATTTGGCACTTGGTGCCATCCCACTGCCTGCACCCAAACAGAATCACCACCACCACCGAGCAGCCACGACCCCACGAGAAAAACTGCATTGGACAACAGATTTGGGTGTCACCAGTGCAATGAGAAACAGGAGAAAGGACATGGGGCTTACAAGGATGCAAAAAGAGCTGGCAGAGCGCAATGAACAGCAGCTTGCTGCATCTGCAGGAGCAGCACGGAGATGCTGTACACTCAAACCACCACGACGAGCGGTGGGCATTAGCCCTGGTGCATATGGATTTGATTGTCCTCCCCTGCAAAGTGCTTTCAATCTATCGATCCAGGAACAATTTCACCACCAAAACGCAGTCGGCTGCATTTCCCACCGCCACAGCAGCCTTGCAGGAACCCTCCCCAGTACACAAGGACATTCCTGCTCAGGGCAGGCAGCACAGTTTGTTCCAGACACAAGTGCCCTTGGGATCTGGTGTTTGTGCATAGGAGATTGGCAGGATTTCCCAGCAAGCAGCACCCAAGTAAATGCCTTTGATAGACTTCTGTGAGCAAGATCTCTTTTGAAAGCCTTGCTGCTGCTCTCCCTGTGCCATAAAGGCTGATGTGAACTTAAAGAGCAACACTGACCTCAGAGACGAGCACTGGCCACTGCCCAGTGTTTCCACATTGCCAGGAATCCTGTTTGTTTTGCTTTTCAATTTGGTTTCAGTTCAAATTGGATCCAACCCAGAGTTTTTCAAAACATCCCAGTAAACTGGAAAACCCACGGCTGCCCAGTGAGACCAGGACCATTCCTCACTGTGCTGCTCCAAGAGGCACTGAGGCCATTCTCCAGGGAGATCCCACAGGGTCCCAGTCCTATAGACCCCATTCCCTGAGGGCCTCAGAGCTGCTGCCAGACGCAAGGTGCTGAGGGATGGCACCCAAACCCTGCTGCTTCTGAGCTGCACACTGCATGAACGCTCCCTTCCCCTAAGAACAAAATCCCAGTGAATGCGAATTGGAGAGGAAGTGCCGTGAGAAGTCAGAACATCCTGACACCACACAACCACCCCGGCGCCGACTCACTTTGAAAAAGTCCGTGAGACCTTCTCTGAGTGACAGTAGACAGTGTGGAAAAGCCAGGAGAAGCTGAGGCACAGCACCGCCCCGAGGAAGAACATCCCGAACACAACCTTCTCCTGGAGAGGAGCCATGAAGTACATGTTGGGCCGCAGCATGGTCAGGATTCCCAAGCAGAGGAACAACACAAAACCTGCAGAAAACACAACAGACGGGCCGTCGGGCAGAGGCACAGCCAGCATCGAGTGATGGATGAACGCCCAGACAGGCAGAGCTCAATGGCAGGGAGGTGAGAAGGGACACGAGAGAGAGAGGCCTGCATGGCTGCTGCAGAATCAGTGCCTCGGGGTCTCTCCCTTACAAGCACGATGCCTCCTTAGTACAGCAAAGAGCCAGGAGAATCCCAGGCACGGCTGTGCCCTGCAAGGCAGAGCCTGCGCGCGCCCTGTGTTTCAACGGAAGGTTTTACAGGACGCTGTTTGGCCCAGGACACATTTCTCCAACCCAGGAGCAGAAACAGCTCGCCCACAGTGCTCAAACGCTGTGCAGTGGGAGCAATCTGGCCACAGCACAGCCAGCTCTTGAAGACCCTGAGCCTCTGAGTCTCCATGCAGGCCAGAACTCTGCAGAATGCTGGCCAAGGCCCTCCTGTGCTCTGAGCCCATCCAATGGGGCCATCAGCTCTTGAAAAGCACGAACACCACCGAGCTCAGGCCTCAGTGCTGCTGCGAGGAGCTGTCCTGTTCTCCCTTCACTCAGAGGCCCAGGAGCTCCCAGCCACCAGCAACTGAGCTGCCCACACGTGCAGAGCCAGAGGGGCACATGATCCTAAAAGGAAGGCGGTGGGCACAGAGAGGAGGTCAAATCAGTCCCTTGGAGCAAACCTGCCCTTCAGAGGCAGCCCCTTGCCTTAACACAGGGGCAGAGCACACCTCAGCCCTACGGAAGCGCTGCGCAGCCCCGCAGCCCCCCGGTCACCTAACAAGTGAGTCCAGATGTTGCCCGTCTCGGTGTGTATTCGGAAGATGCTCTTGAAGCAGGCTCGGAAGGACGGCATCGGAGGCCGGTGCCCGTGCAGGAGGTAATCGTTGTCCTTCAGCCAGTCGGGCAGCACATCGTAGGGGATCACACGCCAGCGCCCTTCCCACACCTGCAACACAGCGACTCGTGTTGGTGGCACCAGCAGTGAGGCAGCCCAAAGGCTTGAATGAATCACCCTGGGAGAACACAGAACAAAACCTGCGGCTCTTGCCTACGGCCAGGGCTGAAAGGCTCTCAAACTCTCCTCTGGGAGAGGAACTTCGGCTTTCGCAACACCGCGTGGAATCCCTTACACCACCCACATCCTGCAGAGCACTTCCACATCCCCTAAGGAGCTGGAGACAATTCAGGGCATTTAACCCTTCAGCACACTGAGCGTCCGCTCCCAGCACTGCAGAATTCCCTTCCATTTTAGTCACACAACAGGAAGCCTGGCTGGCCACAGAGCTGTGCTGGCTCTCGTGCATTTGCCAATCATGGTGACCACGAGCACAAGTGCTGAGCAGAGGCACCCAGCAAACCAGCGGCAGCATTTGAGCTCCCAGGCCCAGACAGCGATGCTGGCGCTGCCCCTGAAGCCCAGCAGGGCTGAGCACAGCCTCCAGCTGCCCCCTGGGATCCCAGGAAGCTCCCACACCTTATACACAAACTCTTCCATCTTCTCCATAGCGTGATGAGCCTGCAGAGGCAGAGTCAGCACACGAACCACCTCCTCCTCTTCCTCACGGGCCACTGGGCATGGCGGGTCTTCAGCCTAGAGGGAGAAACACTGGAGGGAACCAACCCTGCCCACAGCACTGCAACCATTCCAGGCACACAGAGCACCTGGGGTTTCATCCCTTCCCGAGGGGTCGGACAGAACCCACCGGTCACCACCACTTATGCAACTTGCTCCCGCCTCAACCATCTCAGGCAGGCTAATCCCAGACTGATCCTAGTTTAAAGGTGGGATTACCACGAGGGATTTTCATCCTTACAACCAAAGCTGGAAGAGCCCCTGGGCCCAGCCGGGTTGTCCTGGAGCCGGGTGCCCCCGGAGCACATGGCCCGGCCCAGTCCCCCCATCCTTTGCCATTAGCAGCTTTGGGAGCTGAACACACCCTGCAGCGGCAGCACAGCTCAGCTGGCAGCATAAGAACTAAAACACGTTTTTGGGCCAAGCTCTCAGAGCACAGCACCGATCACCGTTCGATTATCAGAGAACCACGGAGTCCTCAAGGCTGGAAGGACCCGCAGCCCCCCCCAGTGCCATATCTCGGCGCTTCCCAACTCCTCCGTGCAGCCGGGCGACGCATCGCCGCTATTCAGGCGCGATTTCTCCTCACGCCCAACCCGCCCCTCCCCGCTCCACCCGCCCCCGGGATAACGGGCAAACTTTTGGTTAACCCCGAAGCACCGGGCCCTCTCCGGACCGACCCCCGGTGCCGGGTCGGGCGCCTTACGCTGGCGGTTCCGGCCGCTCCTTGCTCGCCCTTCTCCTCCAGCAGCGGCCCCAGCTCCGCCAGCTCCAGGTGGGCTCTGTCCCGCCCTGCGGCTGCCAGCCCGTTGCCCTGCGCGGCGGCGGCGGCTTTCCGGGACGCCATGGCGGCGGCGGCGGCGTTCCTGGGGTCCCTCCGCGTCCTTGTGCCGCCGCGCTGGGGAAGGAGGAAGAGCAGAGTCAACGGCACCGGGCTCACGCCGACACCGGAGCTGAGAGCGGCGGAACCGGGCCGGAACCGCGCCCCGTGTCCGCCCCGCAGGCAACGCCGCACTCACCGGCCGCTACATCCCGCGCAGGGCGGCGGCGGCGGCACCGGAAGCGACGCTAAGGGAACGGGCCGCTTCCGGCCTCTAAGCCCCACCCCGACTGGGGCCTCGATGCGCTCGCGCTATGATTGGTCGAATCTGCTGCCCGTCTCTCTCCGCCCCGACACCGCCGCCCTCTGTGATTGGCCGAGCCGCCCAGCTGATGGAAGGCGCTCTAGCGCGGCGGCGCCATCTCGTTAGCCGCGCGCTCGGCTGCCCCTGCAGGCATGGAGGGAACCGGGGGCGGCGATAACCGGGAGCCGCGTGCAGGAGGGGGCGCACCGGGGAGCAGCGGAGGAGAGCAGCGGGCATCCAGAGAGCGAGGTGTGAGCGCTGGTGTCCCTCCTATGGTGGCAGTGCCGCTCCGTTACCGCATCAGCACGGCGTGGAGGGAATCCGCGGACGGGCCTTGTCCGTCTGTCTCTTGTCCCGCTGTCTGTCCATCCCAGCATGGTGGAACTGCTGGCTGCCGCGTGGCCGAGCTCCAAAAGGCGTCGAGGCATTCCCTGCCTTGTGCGGGCAACAATAACTGAAGCCCAGGTTGCCCCTGCCCGGTGGCCGCCGGCTCGTCTTTCCGTCCATCAAGGACAGCTTTAATTACCCCCGGAGTCTCCCCGCTGCCGGATCCGGTTCCCATCAATGATTCATGCCCTGCTGTGGGAAGGGGTTCCTCGGCTGCTCGGCTGAGACCCGGGGGATTTTCCGACCTCTCCGGCATTAAACTGGTGCGGACGGCCCTGGTGGCAGTTGGAGGTGCACAGGGTGCCCTGTGGGGTGAGTGATGGGGTTTGGGAGCACAGTGTAGGAAAGCTTTGGGGGCAGAGGCAGCCTGTAGGTTTTGGGTCTCTGGATGTCACCCACTGCAGCCCAATGGGGGTCAGGGACCCATCGGGCTCTGGGGAAGGGCAGAATCCCTTCCACGTGTGCATCCCAGCTCCCTGTGGCTGCTGCCCCATGGATGGAGCACTTTGTCACACCCCACATCTGATCCAGCAGCACAGGGAGGTGTGCCAGCAGCCAGCTTCCCCTGGCAGTTCTGGTCCCCCCATCCCTTCTGTGGCAGTATTCTGAGGAGCAGCTCGTCCTCCTGGGGCTGACGGGGGCCGAAGCTGAGCTCTCCCCTCTGCAGGGACAAACACAACTGCCTGCAGAGCCCTGAGGTCCCCATGGGTGTCCTGAGCTGCATGAAGTACCTGATGTTCATCTTCAACGTGCTGGTGTTTGTGAGTCCTGCTGGGGATGGAGGGGTGCAGGGCACTGAGCCATGAAGCCCAGCAGTGCTGTCCGTGCAGAGCTGGGATGTGATGCTCAGGGTGGCTCCTGTCCAAGGGAGGGGACCCCAGCATTGTCCCCACGAGGTGCCCTGTGACCCTGCTGTGTCCCACAGGCCGGGGGGATCTGCCTGGTGAGCGTGGGGGTCTGGGTGGCTGTGGACCCGGCTGGTTTCCAGGACATTGTGGCTGCCAAGCCTGTGCTGAGTGTGGGCGCCTACCTGCTGCTGGCTGTGGGCATCGCCCTCTCGCTGCTGGGCTTCCTGGGCTGCTGTGGGGCGCTGCGCCGGAGCCGGCCGCTGCTGCTGGTGGTGAGTGAGGGGAAACTGGGAGACAGGGAGCTGTGGGATGCAGGATGTCCCTAGAGGAACCAGAGTCCCCATCCTGGCACCATCAGCCTCCAACAAACTCCCCAGTCCAGTCTCCACCTTCTGAGACTTGGAATTTAAAGCCTAGAACATTCTGTAAAGCACCAGGTGGACTCTTCTCTTTTCTCTCTCTTTTCTTTCTTTTTTCCCTCTTTCTGTAGGCTCGTCCCACATGGCATTTCTGATCCTTTTCCTGCAGTTTTGAGGGCCAGAAACCCTTTTTTTGAGTGCAGGCACCATGTATCTAGATACATCTTTGCTATAAAGATATCTTTGCCTTCCCCAGCCCCTGTCATGTTCTGCCTTACAGCTGTAAAGATGCTGTGTCTGTCCCCATGCACCACATGCTCATTTCCTGTCCCCCTGTCCCCGTGCATGAGCAGGGAGGGTGGCAGAGGAGGGGAGGAGCAGCAGGAGCAAGCTGCACGTGGGCTGAGGATGATTTCTGACCTTTCTGTCCTGCTGCCTTCCAGTTCTTCGTCCTCGTGAGCCTTGTCTTTGTCACACAGCTCGTCGGGGCTGTGCTCTTCCTGGCACACTGGAAGCAGGTACTGTCCCCTGAAGCTGATGGCTCTGGGTGGGTGAGGTGGCTGTGTGGTGTCCCTGTCCCCATACCTGGTACCTGACCCCAGGTGCTCACAGGTGGCACTGGTCCCACAGATCCGGCCAGAGCTCTTCCTGTTAGAGCTGCGAAGGAATTACTGCGGGGATGAGGGCGCTGAGGTCTTCTCCGTGGCTTGGAATACCCTCATGGTGACAGTGAGTGGCCAGGAGGCCCCTGCTGAGGTGTGGGACACCCATGGGTGCTGCTCAGGGTGACCGTGACCACGGGGGTGGTTCTTAAGGACCACAGGACTCACGCTGGGCTGTTTCCCCGCTGAGCAAAGTCCCTTCATTTCGACAGTGCGTTGATGGTGTTTCCCTTCCATTTCAGTTCTCCTGTTGTGGCGTTTTGGGACCTGAAGATTTTGGGAACGGCTCCCACTTTCAGGAGCTGCACCCTGGGACGCCCTGGCCGCAGGCGTGCTGTGCCCGGGATGGGCTCCTGCAGGCAGGAGAGCTGCTGAGCTGGGAGCAGTGCCAGGAAAGGAACCCTGGCTACATCCATGAGCAGGTAGGGCTACATGGGCAGCTGCTGCCTGGAGCCTGGGGCGCTGCTGCTGCGCTGTGGTTCTGTGCAGAGGTGACTCCCCAGGTCTTGCGCTGCCCCGCCGTGATGCCCCGACTTGTCCCAACCTCCCTGTCCCTCGGTCTGTCTCTGAGCTCCCTGCAGCCCTGTGAAGCACAAGGAATGCCTCCATCGTCTCCCCTCCTGCCCAGGGCTGCTTCCCCACCTTCAGCAAGACCTTGCAGAAGTACATCTCTGTCCCCGGGGTGTGCAGCTTGGCCGTGCTGGGCATCGAGGTACTGAGCAGAGCTGGAGGGGATGAGGCAGGCGGTGGGTCGCCTCATTTGGGTGCTGTTTGCTGGTAGGGGAAGGAATGGTGCTTTGTGTGTTCTGGGACCACGGATGGGTTTGGGCTCCCCCCCCCCAAGGCCTCTCTTTGGTACAACCACCCCCACAGAGCAGATCTGTCTCAGGGGTGCAAAGGCAACCTGCCGCCCTGCGTGGGTGAGGCGGGTGGAAGGACTGAGGGAGCGAGCTCTGTTTTGCTCCTGAAGGCCTGGAGAGGAGAAGCATTGCTCAGCAGTTCCCCCTGCGCAGCACAGGGCAGCCCCTCGCAGGGCACTGGTGCCTGGCTGCACCAGGAGCAGAGCACAGAGGTCCTTCAGCCTCATTCTGCACCAAGGCGCTGCTCTGGCACAGCTGACCTGTTCCCCCCTCCTCCTTCCGTTCCAGATCTTCGCTATGTTCTTCGCCTTTTGCCTTTACTACAACTTTGACTGATGCTGGGAGCAGCTCTCCAGGCCACTGGCAGCGCAGCAGAGATGAGCCAGATTGCCTTGGGAACAGCAGCAGGCAAGGACGCTCTGTTTTCTTGCATATCTCAGCCCAGCTGTGCAGATCAGTCGCCTTGCTGAGTCCTGCGTCTGCCCAGCGCGTGGGTAAGGATGAGGTGGCTCATTTTCCTGGAGCAGGGACAGGGCTCAGGTTCAAATCTTTGCACCCATCTACGCAGACGTGGAGGCCAAGCATCAGATTTGCTCCTGCTGCCAGGCAAACAGCTGTGATAACACAGAGCCCTGCCTCTAAAACCTCCTGAGCTGCTCTACCACCAGGACGTCTGCATCCTCCATCCTCCCCCAGCTCTGTTCCACCACCCCTCGCTGCCCCTCTCCTCTGCATTGCCCCCCTCCACCCCTCTGGGCCCTTTTTCTCCTTTCTCAGCCCTTCCCTCTCTGCTGCTCTTTTTCTCTGTGCAGCTCCTGGAGATGCAGCCCAGCTGTGTTAAATGGTGTTAATGGTTAAATGATCTGCAGATGGAACCTAAGAGCTGGCTCTCTGGAAGCCTTACAAGCCTTTGCTTCAGGATATTTGGAAGAGCCCAAGCAAACTAGAAAAAAAAAAAGTAAATTAAAGCTTTATATTTTATTTATATAATTTCTCAACAAACAAATGAATCAACTCCTAGGAAACAGAAATAATAAAGCCTGCTTCTATTACATATTAAAATATTTACTCATGTAAAGAAAAAAGGACCCAGTGAAAGCAAAGCTGGCAGCCACATCAGGAACAAAAGTCACTCAGGGATCCAGGCGAGGTTTCTTCTCCTTCTTGCTGGCAGTGCTCCCTTTTCTTTTTTGTGTGACAGATTCATTGGTGGTTTTTGTTTCATTCTGGTTTGTTTTCTCCTCCAAAGCCTCCAAAGAAATAAAAAGTAACAGCTGTGAATAATTTAGTTTTATGTAATTAGCACTGCTGAGTTAATTCCCATCTCTGTGTGATTAGAAAGCCTTCCCCCTCCTGGAAAGGATGCTGTGCAAATCAGGTACGGGGTGGAAAGCACTCAGGTAACAGAGACGGCCCAAACGTAATTGATTCTTTGGAACAGGTTTTGATCTGCTTCAATGCAGTTTACTTCCATGCTCCTCATCTGTGAGGTGGATCAGGATGTGGAACAGAGGCAGGAAAATACAAAGGGTGGCAGCAGGAAGGTTGTGCTCCACCAGCAGCTGGGGAGAGCAATCAGCTGCAGAGCTCTCCTGACGTGCAGGAGAAGCTGAGCACGAGGCCCTGCCACAGCAGGTCATGCAGTTTGGGCAGAGCTGAGGCAGAACGAAGGGGATCTCAGGATTCCATCAGTGCTGCTCATCCCACAAACTTCCTGGGAAGCTGCAACCGAGTGCCTCATTGCCTCATTTCCATGGGGGGAGCAATCATTGTTCCCTGCACCACCTCTCCCCCTCCAAGCTGTGGGCACAGAAGGTGAGGAGCACCCACACAGCTGGAAAAGGAAAGCCCATTTCTTACCCTCTTCTGTGGGCTTGCGTATTTCTCAGTCCACTCCTTGGCATTGATCAAGAACAGCTGCTTGTTGTACTTGTACTCTGAGGACTAAACACAATGAGGAAGCCTTGGCCTCATATGGACACTGAGAAGCTCAGGCTGAGCACTGGGGGTTTATAAACTCCCTTCAGAGTCCTGGCTGAAGGACTCCTGGTGCCAGAGCCAAACTGCCATGCACACACCACACAAATCACACCATTCTGCTGCTCGCTTCAGTTTGCTTGAGCAAAGGCACCGCTGCTCCCCACCCCATCCCACAGCTCCCAAAGCCTCAGAGGAGCCCACGTACTACGTCTGCCATGAGGGGGTCATCGGGGTTGGGCTCCGCCATCAGCAGCTGAATGGAGGTCAGCAGCGTGGAGATGTTCAAGGAGGGCCTCCACGCACCCTGCAGGAGGAGGGGGGAGAGAAGCAGTTGAGAGGAAAACCCTGGGGATGCCTGGAGGAAACTCAGGGCTCAGAGCCCCACGGTTTGCTCTCAGCACGCAGGCTGAGGCCTCTCTGGGGGAGCTGACGGAGCCCTGGGCTGTGCCTCAGCTGGGGCGGCCCATTTTCAGAGGGCTGCCTTTCCACCACAATCCTTAAAGCCTTGGAAGCTTATATGGAGCAAAGAAGGTCGTGTTCTAATCTCTAAACAAAGGAGAGGCCACACAAAAACTCTACTGCTGCGCTCCTGCGTAAATAAGTCAGTAGCAAACAGACATTCAATCAGGCTTTTACAAGAAAAAGATAAGGAGCTCATTATCCTCCTCAGGCTCACTTACTGCGCCCAAGCAGCGCTCTCTTACCTTTGGTGGTAACTTAAGAACATCCAGACAAATCCTTCCAGCAGAGTCGATGTTAGGATGGTAGATAGGGGTCAGAAATCGAATCTTCGGGGGCTCAAATGGGTACCTTTAAGGGATCAGCATTGAGAAACAAAACTGTATTTGTACCCCAGTCGTTTTGTCACCCAAGTAATGCCACAAATCCCTCACAGTTACTGAATGACATCCTCTCCCTGTAATCCTGGGATGAAGCAGAGCTTTGCTTCCAGCTGTGCTTGGCCAGCACTTCCCTGCTTCTCCCACAGAGAAGCAAACACAGCAGGAAGCTTTGCACTCAGAACAAGCTGCTCTCCAGGGAGCTTTGGGACAACCGGTGCAGAAATCTTGTTACAGCACCTGCAGGTCATTCACCACACATCTCAGGATGCCCAGCAAGGAGTGCACCGTTCAGCCAGCAGGAATAACAACTACATGGCATAAGTGAAGGCTCTCACCTGAAGATAACCACATTCTGCACGGGGAGGCTGAAGGAAAGGCCTCATATCAAATGTATTGACTTACCATGGAGAGGAACACCACAGCAGCAGGACATCATCGCTCGCTTACCTTTCAGGAACAACGATCTCCAGGTCGAATATCCCTTTCTCATAGGGTGTCTCTACAGCTCCTATAATTTCTTTAAAAACAAAACAATACTGGAGCATAAATACGTTCAAAATCACAGGCATTCATCCAACCATCCCCCTGCACACCCACAGCTCTGTAACAAACAACCCTCAGAGTTGGAGAGGACCTCTGAGGTCCCCGCACCCAACCCACCAATCCTCACTGCCAAACCCCCGGCGCCGAAACCCCCGGGGCCCTAGCCCCCCCCCCGGCTCTCCCCCCACCTACGTGCCCGCAGTTCATCCAGCCGCGTTCCGCTCTGCCAGCAGCTGACGCCGGGCGGCGGCTCCGCGCTCAGCATTGCGAGCTCCCTGCTCAGCCGCGATGCTCTCTGCATTGTGGCTCTTCTTCAGCCGCCCTTAAGGAACGCGGAGGAAGGTTTGGGTTGGGAGAAGCTTTAAGGACCACCTCGTTCCGACCCCCAGCTGTGGGGCAATCGGTGACGCGCTGTCACACCATGCCCAGCTCCCACCCCCCCAATGGGGCAGGGCCCCCTCACCCCACTCACCCTGCATTGGGGTCCTTTGGCTTCACCCTTCCCCCCGTCCCCCCCAGGCCGACCTCAATGGCCGACCCCCCCATAACTGCTGCCCATGTAACCCCACGCGCGCCCCAACGCCTCCCGCCCCCCACTAAACCCAGTGACCCCCATCAAACGAGGGCCGCCCCCTCCCAGCCGATCGCCCCCCACTCACCCTCCCCAGGACCCTTCGCGCCCGCCGCCCCGCTCACCACAGCGCTCACCGCGAGGGGCGGGACTTCCGCTGTAGCCTAGCAACGGGAGGAGACGCTGACGATTAGCTCCTCCCTCTACCGTAGACACGAGCGCTGATTGGGCGCCGCCTAGCTCCTCCTCCTCAGCGGCGGCATTTCGAATCCGAAAGGGGAGGCGCGCGACTATTGGCGGAGATCTGCTGGCGGGAAATAAGCCACGCCCCCGCGAGGAGGGAAAAATCGCGCAATGGGGGCCTGGCTTACAGAGACCACGCCCACAGCGCGGGGCTCCGGGTCGGGTCGGGTCGGGTCGGGTCGGGTCGGGTCGGGTCGGGTCGGGTCGGCAGGGGTTGTGCCGTGTCCCGATGTCCCACCTCGCTCCCCGCCTCCATGGGAGCTCCGCAGGGCGGGCACAGCCCTGCCGGCCCCCGGTGCCCCCCCGCTGTGCGTTGCATAAGCGGCCCCGTGACCTAAAGTCGAATAGCGCTGCGTGTCGCCCCAGGGCCAGGCGGGGAAACTGGGGCAGCGGGGCCCGAGGAGGACGAAGACGAGGAGGAGGGAGGTGACCACCGCGGCTCCGAGCGGGGAGGTAACGCGGGGCCCCGGGGGCGGTGTTGTGTCACTCCCGAGGTGTCCTTTTGGTGACGGTTCCGCTGCACAGCTCCGAGGTGCGGGCGCAGGGCTGTGTGCGTGCAGCGCTGTGCCGTTGCGCTGTTGTCACGCTCTCAGTGCAGAGGGAGCAGCGGGGAGGAGCGCTGTGCGTTGGCTCCGTGGGGTGACGACAGCCCCAGGTCCTCAGACCCAAACTTTCGCATCTCTCTGTCTGGGTACCCGTACAAATAACGCAAAGAAATGAAGCTTTGTAGCTGAGAAGTTGCTCCATCAACACGTGCGATTGTGCTTCTTGAATTGCCATGAAAACAAACAGGAGGCATTACTTTTGGAGCAGCCAACTTGTGAAATGTAGAAACGTGATTCCATGGGGGACCTCGAGCACAGTGCAGGGACCTGACCTGGCTTTGAGCAGAGGAGCACCTTGAAAAAAGGCACCTCGTTAATTAGCGTTAATTACCGTTCAGCCCAGTCTGCAACAGGGCAGAGCTCAAGGGACAGCAACGCCCATCAGCCGACTCTGATGATAACTTGACTCATCAGAACTTGGTGATTTTTAATTAGCAAACTCAGGCTTGTGTCGTATCACAAAAAGGGATGGCTGAACGCATTGAGGCGTGGAGGGCACCCATGGGTTGTGATGTTCATCCCTACATAAAGCTCCTGGAAAGGAGAACACAACCAGCAATGTGTCTTTAACTCTTGGTGATCCCTGTGGGTCCCTTCCAGCTCGGGGTATTCTATAGTAATTAGCGATGTGTGTTTGATTGGTGCTTTTGCTCTTCTGGCCATGAGAGGGCAATATCTGTGCAATAATCACTGCACAAACGCATGGATTTCCAAACCATCCCACCATACTGGCTGCCCACGTTCCTTGAGCCCCTCCAGGGATGGTGATCCCACCGGGCAGCCCATGCCAGTGCCTGACTGCTCTTTCAGAGAAGGAATTTCTCCTAATATCTGATCCAAACCTGAAGATGGGGCCGTGGTGCTCAGAGCAGCCCTTGCAGACTCCCTGCTCTGCACGCTACACGTGAATCCGTGCCCCACGTGCCAGCTGGGTGCTCCCCATTCATTGGTGCTTTGCTTTTCCTGTTCTTCCGTGGCGTGCAGTCGGTGCTGGGCTCCTTCCTGGTGCTCTCCGTGAGCTCCTCAGTGCCTGTGAGTTTGTGGGTTTGGGTCTGTGGGGCGCTCAGTGGGCTGTGTTATAGCTGGGGCTGCGCTGGGTGCTTTTCGGCGATGCCAAGGTGTGCTTTTGGGCACGGTGTGAGGTTGGCAGAGCTGCGTCAGCACTGCGGCCATTTAGGAGGGTGTAGGAAGGGAGGTTTGCTGGGAGGAGCTGAAGCAGGTTAGAGATAATTGCTTCATCCTGTGCTCATCCGCTGTCTCCTGATTCTTTGGGTGGGTGCTTGGAACAAGAAGCAGGTTGGCACAAACCCAGGGGGAGGCAGGGCTCCTTGCTGCTGCTCGCTGCTGCTCCCTGAGTGCATCCCTGTGAGCTGCCCTGAGCTCCCCCAGCTCCAGCCCTCAGGTCAGCTGCAATGCTTCAAAGGGTAACGATGGATGAGAGGTGACGGCCTCGTGTTGTTCCAGAGGAGGATCAGGTTGGGTTTTGAGAGCCATTTCTTCTCCAAAAGGGCAGCGATGTGTTGGCACAGACTGCCCAGGGAACGGTGGGCTCATTGTCCCTGGCGGGGTTCAGAGCTGTGGCACTGAGGGATGTTTCTATGGGCACAGTGGGCTGGGGTTGGGCTTGGGGAGATGAGAAGTTCCATCCTTAATGATTCTGTCAATCTGTAAGTGTGGGGAGAACCCTGTGAGCATGGGACTCAGCTGCTGAGCAGTGGGACCTGCTGTGTACACAGGACTTTGGTCCTATCTCTCCCATGAGAGCTTATGAAAAAACAGAAAAGATTGCTGCAAACAGAGCTGAGCAGTGTTAGGAGCTCTGTTTCTGGCCATCACTTGCCCTCATTCCTTCATGGGGATGCTGCACTCTCCAAGCAAATGTAGAATTGTGGAATGGCCGAGGTTGGAAGGGGCAGATCTCAGAATCAGAGCCACGGGGGTTGGAAGGGACCTCTGGGGGTTTGCTGCCCAACCGTCCACGATGACCACTGGTGCAATGAAGTCTTTCCAGAGCCTTCTCTTCTCCCTTCCCACAGCTGTGGGCAGGATGCAGCACCGCACCATCCACCTCTTCCGGAAGGGCCTCCGGCTGCACGACAACCCAGCTCTGCTGGCTGCACTGCAGTCCTCCGAGGTCGTCTACCCCGTCTACATCCTGGACAGAGCCTTCATGACGTCCGCCATGCACATAGGAGCCCTGCGGTGGCATTTCCTGCTGCAATCCCTGGAGGATTTGAGGAGCAGTTTGTGCCAGCTGGGTTCCTGCTTGCTGGTCATTCAAGGAGAGTACAAGTCTGTAGTCAGAGATCATGTCCAGAAGTGGAACATCACGCAGGTGACTCTGGATGCGGAGATGGAGCCCTTTTACAAGGAGATGGAGGCCAACATTCGGGCTCTGGGAGAAGAGCTGGGCTTCGAGGTGCTCTCACTGATGGGCCACAGCCTCTACGACACCCAACGGTACGTGGCTGCCCTACAGACCAGCAAGGCATCTCCAAAAGGTTTGTTTTACATTTAGCAAACATCATGGAGGAAAGGCTGAGGATCTCAGTTCTTCTGATGAGTTCCTTTTGAGAAGGTGGGGCTCTCTGAGGTAGTGGCACTGGCTGCTGGAGAATTCCGAGTTGGCAGAAGAAGCTTCAGCGGTTGCACAGGATGTTGGTTCTAATTGGAGCCTGAGGAATTTGTTATTTTTTCCCCTGTGGGCAGTTTAATTCACTTTAAGCCCTTCCACTGACTACTCTCAAACAGCAGGAGAAATTCACTAGCGCATGGGAATGGTCTGATGGTTGGATGAGATGAGGGTCTTCTCCAACCTTGATGATTCTATGGTCCTACATTCAAAAGAACTTCTGTACGCATCCTTCTGTCTGCCTTTTGGGATCTATCTGATCAACTTTCACTGGTGTGTGGGTCACTGTGGGTCCACGCAGTTATTCACAGCTGAAAGCCCGCAGATAATGAAGTTAATAATGATAGGGAGGTATTCATTAAAACAGCCTTAACCCCTCACCCTGAAAAGCCCTTAATTGGTGTGAACACAAGGATGGATGTGGTGTTCCATCTTGAATTCAAACCATCTGTTCCCACTGGTTGTTGCTCCACAGGCTGGGGCTGTTACTGTGCTGTCACCTCCCCACGCATCCACACACAGCTCCAGTTTCCCTCTTGATCCATGTTACCACGAGCACTGATTTTATTTTACGCGTAGGATTTTGGAGCTGAATGGTGGGACTCCCCCGCTGACGTACAAGAGGTTCCTTCACATCCTGTCCCTGCTCGGGGACCCGGAGATGCCAGTCCGAAATCTCACAGCTGAGGACTTCCAGTAAGTGAGACCCAACAGGGGACCTGCAGGGCCTTCCTCTGCCCAAACGAGTGGCGTCAAATGATGACAGTGACTTTCAGTCATGACGTTGCGTTGCTTTTTGGCGTGGAGGGTTATTGATGTGATCCTGCTGTCCAGAGAGGAGAGCAGGTGGGGGTGGCACAGTCTGAAGGCTTTTGTAGGGTGCATTGAAACAAACTTTTTGTGCATGTGAAGGTTGAGCAGAGGAGAGGCCAAGGAATTCCAGGTCTCTTTCACCACATCCTGGTGCTCTCCAACCTTGGATTCTGGCTCTGATGGGCTCCTTCTCCCCCACGGAAGATTCAGCTTGGGGTTTCTGGCTGTGCTTTGGTTCCCCTGTGCCACAACAGAGGAGGTCTGGGTGTGTGAATGGGGTCTGGCAAACTCTCTTGGCTCTGGTTCCCTCTCTTTCACATTAGGAGGTGCAGCCCCCCTGAGCTGGGCCTGGCTGAGTGCTACAGGGTCCCTCTGCCCACGGATCTGAAGATTCCCCCCGAGAGCATCTCCCCATGGAGAGGAGGGGAGAGCGAAGGGCTGCAGCGCCTGGAGCAGCACCTGGCAGACCAGGTCTGTCCTGATGGTTGTGCGGGTGGGCTGAGGTTGGTGCCATCCAATGGCGCGTGGTTGGGGCTGGACTGCGAGAAACCAGTTGGCTGTGGCCTCCAGTTCTTGCTGAGGATTTGCCCTCTAAGCAGCTCCACCTCGGGATTTTGTTGTTCTTGATGGGAGGATTGTGGTCGGAGTATTTTCCATGGGTGTGTTGCATGCGCATGAGCCAAGAGCCAAGAGCCCATCCCTGTCCATTGGCTGAACATTTCTCACTTTGCTCCGCCTGAACCTTGATTTCTGTTCTCATTTCAGGGCTGGGTGGCCAGTTTCACCAAGCCGAAAACAGTCCCAAATTCACTGCTTCCAAGCACCACCGGCCTGAGCCCCTATTTCAGCATGGGCTGCCTGTCAGTCCGCAGCTTCTTTCATAGGCTGTCAAACATTTATGCTCAGGTAAGGGGAAAATCGGCCATAGTCAAGCAAGGCTAATGCTTCTGAGGCTGGGGTTTAACCTTCTTGGCAGAGAGATGATGCAAATAATGCAACTTTGGCACAGTCTTACGAATCCAGACTATGCTGATCAGTGTATGTCTAGTATCAAAAATCCTTATGCGATACCTTTTTGGAAGGTAGATTGGGAAAGCTCAAGGCTAAACAAGATCTAACAGAATTCAGCTTTGGTGCAAGAAGCATTGCTTCAGGTCTTTGGCTTTCATGGGAAACCACCGTGGAGGCAGCAGTGTGGTTAAGATTAACGTTTCTTTTGTGGGCATCACAAAATGAGTGAAGCTGCACGGAATGAGCAAACAGAAGCGTCGATCTCTGTGTCTTTGCAGGCCAAGCACCACTCCCTGCCCCCCGTGTCGCTCCAAGGGCAGCTGCTGTGGAGGGAGTTCTTCTACACGGTGGCATCAGCAACACCAAACTTCACCAAAATGGCCGGGAATCCCATCTGCCTCCAGATCCGTTGGTATGAGGATGCTGAGAGGCTCCACAGATGGAAAACGGTAACGAGGTGCATTTCCACGATGGCTGCGTTTTGGTTCGGACCACGCAGGAGGGCTGACGTTGATTTCTGCCTCAGGCTCAGACGGGCTTCCCATGGATTGATGCAATCATGACCCAGCTGAGGCAGGAGGGCTGGATCCACCACCTTGCCCGGCACGCTGCCGCCTGCTTCCTGACCCGCGGGGACCTTTGGATCAGCTGGGAGGAGGGCATGAAGGTTCACTTCTGGTTTTGGGTTTTCTCTTTTTGTTTGGTGATTTTTTTTTTTTTTTTCCCTTCTGGCTGGTCTTGAGAAAGCCCTGCACACCGTGAGCACCGTCATGGTGCTGTGAAGTGGGGAAGGTGGGGATGTGTTGGTGGTAGGACTTGGCAGTCTTAGTGGTCTTTTCCAACCTTAATGATTCTATGACTCTACCAGTGCTTTATTACTGAGCCTTGCTAAAAATCTCATGGTTTATAAAAATCTCACAGTCTTTTTCTTGAGTCTGGGCCGTGCTGTACAGGGTGCAGTGGTGAGAAGCCATTCCCATCCCCAAGGTCTGATTTTGGCTGATGGTGATAATATTGGAGACCAGCTCGGTCTGCAGCACTCTTCAAAGTCAGACCTTTGGGCTTTGGGTTTCTCTGACACCAGGTCCTGCTTGAGCTTCCTTCCATGTGTGCAGAGTATCCTGATCACAGCGCAAGCTTCAACCTCCATCTACCAGCCTCTATTTGTTGGTTGTTTTGTTGTTGGTTGGGTGGTTGTTTTGTTGTTGATTGGTTAGTGATGATTTTTGTTGGTTGGGTTGTTGGTTGGTTAGTGGTGGTTGATTGTTTGGCTGGTTGTTGGTTGATTGATTAGTGGTTGTTGATCCGTTGTTGGTTGGTTGGTGGCGGATGTTGGGCGGTTGTGTTTTTACCACATAGGCAGCCATTTCAGAGGTGTTTTTTCTCTTCCTGTCCCCAAAATGCAGGTTTTTGAAGAGCTGCTTTTAGATGCTGACTACAGCATCAATGCAGGGAACTGGATGTGGCTGTCAGCCAGTGCCTTCTTCCACCACTACACACGGATCTTCTGCTCGGTCCGTTTTGGGAGGCGCACAGACCCAGAGGGGCAGTACATCAGGTAGGGCCACACACAGCATGGTGCTTTCTGCTCAGTGCTGCTTCCCTGCTCCTCTGACAGCAGGAGCTGGGTAACTCAATCTGCATGAAACACAATCCCTGTGGTTTACTTAGCATGGAAGGAAACCCCAAAGGCTGTGCTTATGGAGGTGATGACTGAGCATGGAACTGCATTGGCTGTGAGTGCCTGCAGACTCCAGTAGTGTCCAATTGCTGGGAGAACACGAGTGTGCTCCACTCCATGCTGTCAATGTGGAAGTTTATGAGCTCCTTAAGGAGCCCATCTCTCCCAGATGTGGACTGAGCCTTATTAACACATCACTGATTACCTGGAGTCCATCCGTCCCAGGAATGCACACCTGGCTTTGCTGACATTTTCCTCAGCGATCTTTGAAAGAGTCTAAAAGTGGGTTCTGTCCTAAGTTGTACTTGCAGTGAGAAAGTCTACAGTGAAAATAGTTTGGATGAAGTCAAAGCTGAAGTAATGCTTAAATCAATCCTGTTATTTGTTTATGTGATGTTAACTGGTGGAGGATTCAGAACAGAAAAAGATCTTTTGCATAAAATGAATCAGAACTCTCATGGATTGCAGTATCAGCAAAACCACCAAGAATGAATGTGGTGTAGGTTGGATTACATTTAAGTGTATTTGTCTGCAGGACTGTAATAAAAACATTTTATTCTTCTTGTGTTGTAGGAAGTACTTGCCTATTCTAAAGAACTTTCCCTCTAAGTACATCTACGAGCCCTGGACGGCCTCTGAAGAGGAGCAGAAGCAAGCAGGATGTATCATAGGTAGCTCAGATACTGTGCTCAGGATTTTGCTGCTGATAATTGTAAGAAAATAATCACAGGTGTGACATGGAAGTGCCACACTTCCACCATGAGTCGTGCGTTTATCTTTTGTCAATGGATTCACCCAGCCCACTCTTTGTAAATGCAACAGCCTGGTTTGATGGCAGTGGTTGCGATTCTTAGTGAGTCCCCAATGTGCTCATCACAGATCTTTGGTGAAGTTTTACTCTTCCCGCATTTCATCCTTGAAAACAGTTGGTGACAAATGTAGATATTACCAAAAAGTGATGACATGGATGAGGCACGATTGTGGAGCGAGGGGCGTTTTTCTCAGGTAAAAGGGGTCTTGTAAAAGTCCCATAAAGAGGCATGGCCAATTTTTTGAGTTGAAAAGCTGATTGCAACGCTGTGCATTCAATCTGAACATCTGCAGGCAGTGCATTTACGACTGAAAATGGAGTCATAAATGTACCAAAAAATTGATTTTTTTTTTTTTTTTTTTTCCAACAAAAATCAAAATAATTTAAAAAATTTCTTTATCGAAACATCAAACAAGGCTGCATCGAGAAGTTTAGCTGTGTCCTTTAATGGCACCAAAGATCCATTTATCCAGTGGCATCGTGTTTGTTATCAGTGCCTCTCACAGAAATGGCAAGCTGGGTCATTTCTGTAGCATCAGCACTTTCTTATATTGCCAAAGCAAATAACTTGGAATTAGCAGCTTTACGCTCCAAATTTCTTTCGATTTTTACATTTCTTCTCTTCATTTGTCCACAGTCTGCTGAAAATGATTTTAGAAAAATCTGTTCTTTTTGCTTGTTTGTTTTAAACTGGGACAAATTATATCCTCCATGCCTTCCATACACCGCTCCATAAAGAATTCGCTTTGCTGTAAACCCAGTGAGACGTCCTTGCTTATTACTGCCAAGTCTCTGTCGTACCAGGTCAGGATTACCCCTTCCCAATGGTGGACCACAAGGAGGCCAGCGATCACAACCTGCAGCTGATGAAGCAGGTCCGAGAGGAGCAGTACAGAACAGCCCAGCTCACCAGAGGTGAGGTCCCCAAGTCCAACCCTACCCCTACTGCCCACATCCCTCAGTGCTGCATCTCCGTGGTTCTGAACTCCTCCAGGGATGGGAACCCCACCTCTCCCTGGCTCATATGGAGTTCGTTATTCCAACCCTGTGCCCACTGATGTATCCAGAGGTTGCACATTGATACCCACCAACCCTGCGGGATGGTGTTGCAGGGAAGGACCCTGTTGCCTGTACATAGGTTTTCTGGCATGCTTGGTAGCTTTACCTGCTGCTGTCAGGGGTAGCTGTTGCTGCACTGAGGTCTGAAAGGCTGCAAACTTTTGTTCTTCCTCCCTTCTTGCCACAGATGATGCAGATGACCCAATGGAAATGAAGCTGAAGCGGGACCGCTCTGAGGAAAACTTAACAAAGACAAAAGCAGCCAGGATGACAGAACAAACCTAGATCCATCGGGGTTTAACCCTCTGGGAACTGAGAAATGGCAGAAGGGAGAGCAGAGGCCATCTGAGCCAGGAGGAGCTGCACTCCATGCTTTGCCCCCTGTGTGAACCAACCACCAGCAAAAGCTTTGTACCTTCCATGCATTTGTTACTGCAGTTATTTTGAATGAATTTGTCTGTCTGTTGGTGGCTTAGTAGTCATTTATTGCAGCTATAGGTAATGGACGTGTTTCTCTGTTGCTATTATTCAAATCCACTCAACGTTCATGCATCTTTATAAATAGTTTTGATGATAAATGCCACTCTTTCCAACATGACAAATACATGTCAGTTTAAGAATAAATTGATATTATTGTTTTCACACATTAGTGTTAAAAGCAGGATTTGCCTTAGACAGGCAAATTTTAAGGGCATTGTTATATAGTTTCTCAGTGGGTAAGGGCTGATGTCCTTCTAGAACTGTAGGATAGGTATTTTATTCCTCTCATGTATCACATGTAAAAATTCCCCCTTCCGTTGAAATGGCTCCTTCTGAAGTGTCACAAGGCTGAATAGCCTGTTTTCTTTGTTATGGTTGGGGTTCTGTTATGGTTGTGGGTTTTCATCACCGTGGGTACTACTTTCGTTTATAAAAGAAATAAAAATAGTTTCTGACATGAAAAAATGTAAGGTCTGTAGATTAATCTGTTGTCACAATTGGTGTCCATCTGCCCTCTTTGGAAAGAAGACAACTATTGCATCAATCCCATACACCCAGACTTCTTCACTCTGAAGGCATCTGTTGACCAGTGCAGAAGCAGCCTATGAGCCACATGAACTGGGGGTGTGTTTTTATTTTTATTTTTTTACAGTAAATACAAAAGCTGTGAGGACCATCAGAAAGATCTGAGAATGAGCCGTGTCCTCCTGCTGTGCTAAGCCTGAACTGAGCTGCTGGCTGTGCTGGTGCTTCTCAGCATGCTCCTCTTCAGCACACAGAGGGGTTGCCAGGATGACCTGAATGAAAGGCTGAGCCCTGGATGAGGGCAATGCAGAGCTGGGTATTGCATCGTGTTTTTAAGGCACACTCATCTCCTTCATGTTCTAAAGAGGACAGCTTTTGCTGTTTCAGTGTCACGTCTAGCATTGCTGTGCAAGCAAAGACTTTGGGTGCTTGCTGGTCATAGGTGTGCATGAGGATGGAGTGGCATTGTTTCCTAGGAGGAGAGACTGCAGGTGTGGAGGTTCAAAGAATCTTTGGGACACCTTCTGTTGAAAAGCAGCTGCACGGTTTGGTCTTTGGTTGGAAGAACTGAGATTTGTGTCTGCAAATAAGCTATGTAAGAGAAACACTTGAGCAGGAAACTGCAAGAACAGCAGAGCTGCTCTCACGGGTGAGAGCAACCTGCCAACACAGGTGGAAGAACGGAGCTCCACTGAGCTGCTCCTCCCAGCACAGCGAGGAGCCCCTCGTGTGCTCTGCATTTCATGTCGCTGTGACAATCTGCAGTCAGGCAAAGCAAAATGTCACCGAGTTACTCTCCAGTCAAGTTCTCCTCTCGTGACAGACAGAGGCGCCGCGAATCTTGGAGGCTGCACGAATGGATTCAGCGCGAGGTTCTGCCGCTCGCTCTGTGCGGGGAGCGGAGCGGCGCTGTGCGCCCCGGGTCCGGCAGGGGGCGCTGCGATGGCGCCATGTGGCCACGAGGGGGCGCCAGGAGCGACTCCTTCACTCCCTTACTTCCGGTCCCGCGAGAAGCTCTCCCACCCCGACGCCGCCAACCGCTTCCGGCCGGAAGTGCCGCCGCCGCTCGCAATGTCCCTCGCTGCCGCAGGGCGGAGTCGCGTTCCATTTCCTCTCTCTCCCGGAAGTGTCCGGAACGGAAGCGGCCCCCGAGCGGCGGCTCTTGTACAGGAAGTGACGGCCTGCCGCGCCCCTCCCGCCGCGGCCGTTGTTCGCAGCCGGCTCTGCGCTCGGCCCCGCGGCTGAGGCCGCCCCGCCATGTCCCGCCGCCCGCCGGGGGCCTCGCGGAGCCGAGAGGAGCGGTCGGGCAGCGCACAGCAGTTGTGAGTACCGGGCCCGGGCGGCGCGGTGCGGGCCGGCCCGGCGCTCGCCCCCTCCCGGCGGAGGGCGGACGGGGGCGGGCAACGACGCCGCTGCCGTCTCCGCCGCCGCGCTCCCAGGCGGCTCGGCAGGGCCCGGTACGGCCGAGCAGGGAGCCAACCGCCAGGTACGGTCCCGCCACCCTCCTCGCGCCGTCGGCGGGGCCCGGCGCTGAGAGGGGCGAGGCCGCAACGCGCGGGGCCGGGCGGCCGCCGCGGGGCGCTGGGCTGGGGAGGATCCGGGGGGAAGCCGGGAGCGGGAGGGCCGGGCGGCCGTCGAGGGCGCGTGTCCCGCCTCCGGCATCTGGGCGCCTCGACGGGGCGACGTGCGGGAAGGAGACGCGCGGTCGGGCCCGCCGGCTCCCGGCTGCACGGCGGCTTTGCGCCCGGCTGCTGTCCTTGTGGGGCCGCTCGTTGCGCTCTGGGCTTTCTGCCGTTCGGGGCTGGCGGCGAGCGGCGCGGCTGAGCCGGCTGTGCTGGGAGCATTGGTGGGCGCTCCATGGCGAGCGGCGCTGGGAGTCGTTGTTCTAATTGTTACTAATTGTTCCTGATTGTCCTGATTGTTCTTAATTGTTCTCCTACGCAAGGGCTGTTTTGGGGCGGGAGAAAGTGTTTCTGTACAGAGCTGTGAACCAGCACTGAATGTTTTTTGCTGCCGTTGCTGAAAGTTGCTGGATTATGGGAAAATATGAAGCTGTTGGGAAAGGCTTTCACCAAAGTTCTGGGCAGGATTTCTGGCTTCGCACAGAAAGTCAGAATCGCTTTCTAGACTTTGTTCAGTGATAACAGCAAGACTTAACTGTGATACTCAGTTTACGCATGGACAGGACATGGCTGTGTGAAGGGAATTTGAACTGCAGTCACAGTTTATTTAATTTGTTCCTGGGCTTAGGCCTCCAATTTATGCTCAGTCTTGTTCGGCCGCTTCCAGGATTTGATTGTGCCCATTGAAATAAATGAAGTTGGTTTTCTGAGGTTTGTAGAACTTGTGGTCCCTGATTGGTTTATTCATAGTTATGAGGAGGAAGTTGTTTCTGAAGTGGGTTACTGGGTGGATGGGCAGCTGAAAAAGCAGCTCACCAGAAAGAAAAGACTGCAATATAAAGATACTGCTGTGGTTGATTGTATGAGTGAAGAAAACAGGAATCATTCCAACAGAGGAAAATACAGGATCTATTTTCTGTTTTTCTAGCTTGATATGAAAGTGGTGCTTATATATATATGTTAAAAATATCCTTCCTTCCTGTTTCCTTCTCTTATCACTGCTTTCCTTGGTTGCTTAATGCTCAACTCCTGTAGTTGAGGAGGAAGCTTTTGGTATTGCCACACATGCTGTCTTTGTAGCAAAATAATAACAGTTTTTGCTGAAGAAAATGTCACTTTGGTGTCACTTACCTCTGTTGAGAATTTTGGACGGTGGTTCGAAGTGCTGTCTAGGAGCTCAGTGCTGAGCTTCGTGGTTCTGCATCATCAGTGGAGCTGGGAGGTTTAAAAGTGCTTCAAAAAACACGTTGGTTTTTTTTTGTTTGTTTGTTTATTTTCTTCTGCTTTAATTACATTCAAACATTTAAGTGTTTCTAGTTGTTGCTCTTCATTTAAGCAGAAATATTTATGTAAGATCACGATGCTTCCGTGCTAGTTTCTATCAGCTGACCTTTCTGGTTCCAAAACGTCCTACTCTGTTTTACCACTGACTGCTCTGATAGCATCCACTGAGAACTACGTGGAGTGTTGGCAATGCTGTCATTTCCAGGATGCTGTTGTTTTTAAAACAAAGAATTTCCTGACCGCTGCACCGATAAATTACTTCAGTCTCTTCTTTTTCCACACCGAATGCCTAGAAATGAAATTGGACATAATTGTCCAATACTTTGGTAAATGCTACCTGTAAGGTTACAGCAAAGAAAACTCTGCATGTCTAAAGCCTTTAGACAGACAGTAGCACAGACATTTATATTGGCCATCAAGGGAAATGCGATCTCTGACAACCAGGAGCTGATCTAATCAGGGAGTCAAGAGCGCCCTTCTGGTTTCTCATTTGCTGGGAAAGGACCACGTTTGAGCAGATGCAACGGCTTCATGCGTGGATGTTCTCTACTAATGGCTGTATTCTAAGCTGACTTGGAAGACCCAGCTGTATTACTTTGCTGCCAGAAAAACAGTTTCAGTGGTTGAAAAACTACTTGACAGCAAGCAGAACGCAGTACTGTTGTCATCTGGACTGAGTTTGGGAAATAAGATCATGTTTTCAGTTAATTTGTTGATGTAGAAAGTCAGTAGGACAGAACTAGAATACTTTTGGTGGCTGATGCTCGAGTTGGCAGCTTTGCCTTTTTATCCTGGTTCTGATGTCAAGCCATGAAGCTACGTGCTGTTCATTGGATCTTTTCTACTCTAGCGAGAGGAACTGTTCTGTTCCTGTTGGCATCAGCCTGCTGTGCCCTGTTGGCAGTGCTTGGGGCAGTAGGTTGTTCCACTGAGAGTCCAGGAGTTCTCTGGGGAAGATCCATGCGTTCAGGGGAACTCGTGCGGAGTGGGAGCGTCTCTCTGTCTTGCAGTGGATTTGAAAGTCTTATGTCATTCCTATCTTGGCATTTGAAGCAGTCACAACTTTCGAACTGATGAGATTCTGTCTGTCTGCTGTTTTGACTTTTTGTCTTCACATCTTCATCTTCAGATTTCGGTTCTGATTCTCTGTGTTCCTTCTAGTTCTTGAAGCCCTTTTCTTCTTAGACTCCTGTTTCTATAAATCATACAGAACTTCCATGTGTTCCTTGATTACATTTGTTTTCTTTAATTTCTTTGAAGATGACTGACCTTGTAGCATGTATCTGTCCAGAGAAAGAATGAGCAGGTGAGCTGTAGGCAAGTGAGTTGGACACCGTGCATCTTATTTCACAAAGTGAATGTATTTTGCATCTTACTTTATTTTTTCCACTAGTTTGTCTAAAGTAATTTCTGCTTCCATCTTGTCAAGTGATTAATCTGCCTGTATTTTCCTGAAGCTTTCCTGAAATTCGTACTTCTTATCGCTAACTATGGGTGTTAATACAGCAAGGAGCAAAATACAGCTTTTCTGTTAAAGCTGGAGATAGCTTTTTTTTTTTTTTTTTTTTTTTCCATTGGAGAAAGAAAGGCCCAGTGAGCAGAAGAGAAGGATAATTTAAGATGTTTCCTTGGGTCTTTAAACTCATTGTTATCTGAGAAGGACGCTCTTTCTTGCTTCTCTATGGTGTAATTGTTGGATGTGATGTTTAGTCTGTAGTATTCTGAAATGCTAACCCAAAATGTATATATAGAATGATCAGCATGATTTTTGCCTCTGTGGTTGCTGAAAATCAGATCTGGAGTTTTTTGATAGCTAGTCTGTTTCTAAGGCATAGCAGCACTGGGTGTACAATTCACTGATGGACATTAATTAAAATATCTGTGCTGTGTTCACTTATACTTTCTTTCTTTTTTTCTTTCTTGTCTCCTTTCTTTGTTTTGTTAAGCATTGCAGGCTGTATGTACCGAGTAGTTCAGACGACGGGACCAGATGGAAAAAACCTTCTGAAATTACTCCCAATTTCTAAACCTTCTGGAAACTTTGTGCCAGTAGTTCAGTCTTCAGCCATGTCAAATAATCCTAACGTGAATGTTTCTAGTCCAGTCCATCTTGCTTTTAAGACACAGCTTGCCAGTACTGCTGCATCTTCATCTGTTAAGATACCTGTTTTTCAGTCTCCTAATTCTGGAAAGATTATCCTTCCAAGGACGTTAGACAAACAGGGAGGTGTTAGAGCAGGTTCTGATAAAGAAAGCGTAACGACAGAATCAGCTGCTGACATTCAGAGTAGTTGTGTTTCGGTTGATAGACAGTCTTTGCAGAACGCTGCCGTAACGAGTTCATCTGAGCAGAGTCACACTGCACACATGTTGGGAAACACCAAAGATAATCCCATTTCTGTGAAGCCTCCAGTACTGCCCTCTGGCCACCACCTCCAGATACCAGCGGATGCAGAAGTGAAATCTGTCCCAGCTTCTTTTTTACCGGCTTCAATCCAGCAAAAAATACTTGCCGCCGCAGCAACAAATGTGTCTGATGGAGCTGATAGTAAAAAAATGCCAATGGTGATTTATGTGTCACCTGTGAACGCAGTGAAAACAGTTCTTCCCAAGCGTTTGCAAGCTGACAACCCCAAACCTGCCCCAGATGTTTCAAAAACGTTGCAAATGGCAGCTCCACAAAAGGCACATAGCTCTTCTCCTGAGACAGGAACGTCTGATGCTCAGCAGTGCCAGCACGCACCAATGAAATGGATTGTGCGAGAAAGTCCGCAGTTGCCAGCGCCCTGCCTTATTCCTGTAAAGTCATCAAATAACGTGGCTTCCAAGATCTTGAAAACTTTGTCAGATATGAAGAATGTAGAAGTGAACTCTGCAAATATTTTGTCACGCTTTTCTATTGGTTCTGGTGTAAGCAAAACAAAAATCACGTCCATTAAGGATAATGCTCTGGTCATGTGCAATGGGAAAGTCTATTTATTGACCAGGAGAGGTTCTGATGTTCTATCAGCCCAAGCTGACATGCAGGCATCTTCCTCTTGTGGTGCTTCACTTAAAAAGGGAACATCCAAGCTAATTGATTCTACTGAAGTCACTAAAATAAGCAATAAAGTGGTGAATCTGGTATTATCCAAAAACAAAGGAGTGCCGTTACCTCAGAAAGATCCTAAAGTGTGTACAAACTCTAAAGCTTCTTCACCTGGAAGTTTAAGAAATGACTTAAAATCTGCATCTGCAGCTCTGGTGATACCAAGTGTTGAGGAGCAGAGTTCCACTGTAAACCAGGGAAAAAGTTTGCCCTTCATGGAGAGCATCTCAAGTGGAACAACCCCAATTACGGCGTTAGGGATGCAGGAAAATACGTGCCAAGATGGCAAGGAAGTGATTCATTCCCCCAAAGCAGCAAGTGCTGTTTTACCTCAGTCTGAACACGAGTGTGCTTTCAGTGAAGACTGGCAAAAGGTAACTCCAATAAACGTGACAATCTCAGTCTCTGCTTGTTATATGCTCCTGGGTCTGATTAAGTGAAATGGCTTTTTCATAAGTTGACGGACTGTTTTTACCTTGTAACCTGTCACCAGAAATGCTGGTTTAAAATTAGATTATTTTGTTTTTTTTAGTTCAAAAGCTGAAAAGGTTATTCTTTTCCCAGTTAAATTGCTCTGTGCAAATGGGAAAAGGCATAAAGGAAAAAAAAAAAAAGGCAGGGAGAAGATGTCTCTATTTCTTCACAAGATTAGTTATCGCACATAAGAATATGGGTAAGCTGTTCAGCCTTTAAGCTCTGGTTGCTTTCTGCTTTTTAACGTTGCTGCCAGATGCTGTAGGCATGGGGTGAAGTAGGGAAGCTTGGAATGATGTGAAAGGAAGACAAGCGGTCAAACAGAGGTTTTCATTCTGAGACAATCTGATGTTCCTCCTCCAATTTCTGCTGGCTGATAGAGCCAAAGGCAAGAGCTACATTTCCTTTCTTTCATGCTGTGATGCAGTGGGATTCTTTTTCTTGTGGCTTGATATCAGGCAGGCGAAGCTCAAAATCTTCAATGGCAACAGAGCTGTCCCCTTTTTGACTGCCTGTGTATTCTTCTAAAATCATAGCGTAAGAAATATCTCAAAGGCTATAGCTGCAAATTCCACAAACTCTGTACCTATGAAGGATTGCAAGTCAAGATTTCAGTTGCTTCTGAAGACAGAAGGAGTTTGCCTCCAGGTGAAGAATCATTCGGAAGGAAGTGTATACTTCTGTTGACCAGGCCAAAGAGAAATGTCAGATAAGTGTGCGTATGCACATTTCAGACATTTATTCATGGCAGTAGACTGTAGGATCTCTTCCTCCCAAAAAATCGTTCAAGTAGACTTTTTTTCTTTGAGGACTTTATGATGGCAAGTGGTAGCGTTTGACTTCACATCTGTGAAAAATAGCATTTCAGTTGTTGGCTTTTGGTCCTTAACTTTGCGAGCCTATGGGTGCCAGATGTAATGATGTGATCTTGATCTTGCATATTAAAAAAGCCAGTTCAGGTTACAGTGAGGATTAGATGTTGGAGGTGGTTAATAGTGCTTCGTTGGTATTATCAACCACAATGCAAATAAGAATTGTTTTCATCAGCCTGAAAGCGATGACGTATAGAACACTGATCTCTTGTTATTTGCCTTTGATACTTACGGCCTTTAGGATAGGTGATGCCCCTGTTGCTTCTTTTAATTCTGTAGTTTACTAGTTGGACTTTGCATTTACCGGATATTGTGCAGTGCACCTGATGTTTTAAGTAATTAATGTTAGGCCTATGATAATTTGCCTGTAATTCCTCAAAATTGGCTTACATGTCTTAAATGCAGCTTGTGGAAAAGAACAAATTGTCATTAGGGCTTTGAGTAAACTAAGGCTTTTACATACATGGAGAGATTCATGGTTCTCTTACTGTTTCTGTATTGCAGGTCCAGCGTAAAAAGATGTATTCACTAGGAAAAGTTAATCAAAATAAAGACCAAGAGAAGCCACATTGGAAACAGTATTTGCAATTAAGGACAAAATTTGGTCTCTATAAGGAGGAGAGAGTCTACCTTAAGAGAATACCATTAACAACCTCCTGTGAGAAACCAGATGAGAGGGTGAGCTCCAGTAACAGCTTGGAAAAGAAAAATGATTCTTGCACTTCCTCCTCGTTAGATGTGACAATAACAGACCGACATCGGGAATGTATTAAAGAGGAAAAGGTACCTTGACTTTTTTTGGTGCTAAAATATGTGTGCTGCAGCACGTTCAGAAGGCAGTGTGAGTGTCGTCAGTACGGGGTTGTGCTTTTTGCCTGGGCTGTCTCACCTGGATTTGTCAGGGGAAGTCGATAATTGTTAGATCACGATGGGAGCTGATCCTTGGACTTGTTTCTGTACCGCTGCAGAGCTGAGTGATTTCAGTATGACCTGAGTACTCTTTTATTATTATTTTTTTTCTTTCTTATCCTCTTTTCTGGGTTCAGCTGGAAGAAACCTGAAGAGCAAATGCTTTGATGATGCTGACCCGCTAGTTATGACTGAACAGTGAAAAGGACAGCATTTATGGGAGTAGGAGCTATACCTCTGTATAAGACCCTGATTCGTATTTAGCCTTCTACGAACAATTAGGCTTATCAAGTAGTGCAATGGATATATGCAGAGCAATCAAGAATTTTCCTGGGCAGCTTTATCTGTGTATTCCAGATCAGGCAAGTGCTGTTATTTGAAGGCACTTCAGACGTTCACATGGCTGGATGTGTCTCACTTCACAAAAGAGCTGCCCACTTTGTCACAATCAGTGTTGTTTAGAGAAATTTGCTCATGTACTTGCGAGGTGTTGAGAGTTGCAGTGTCTTTATGAACTTAGTCCTTTGTCATTGGATAGGAACATTCTGGAGTGCTTCTGGAAAGGTTCCTTTATTGTAAAGCCTTGCATTTTAATGCATGAAAATGATTTTTATCCATAGAAAGTGGTTCTGTTCGGCCTTCGTGTTCTACATTTTCTTTTGTATGGTTGTACTCTACTCAGTCAAAGGCCTTTTCATGTTTTGATAACTGTATGTGGAGAACCCTATGTTGAGCAGATCTACTGCCTAGGAAAGTGATTCTAAGAAACAAGCAATAAGTAACTCCTGCAGTATGTGCCCAGTAACTGTGATCGTGTCATGTCAAATGGTCCTCAGTTTAACAGGAGTGTCTTTGTGTGTTTCTTGATCTTACAGGTTATTTTGGATCTAGAAGAGGGTTTATCTAAGAAAAGAAAAACAAAATTTTCACTGCCAGACAGTGGAAAGAGAAGGAGAGCATCAGTCAAGTCAGCCACGAGCTCAAGTTCAGAATACAGTGGGGGAAGTTCTATCACACTAAACAGAAGTGTTTCTCCTCCACCTGCCTTATTGCAGCGAAGCATTTCCACAGACTTTGTATCCTCAACAGACGCTGAGCGAGAGCCGTGCTCCCAAAACAGCGATGATACAGACTCAGATATTCCAGTGTTAGTGTCCTGTGAAGACCATGCTTCACTTTTTGAAGGCTCTTTCAGAGATGATGCTTTCCCTTTGACTCCCCCAGACCTGGATGAAACGATCCGGGACGAGAAGATAAAACGACTCAAGCAGCTCTTGAGAGAGCGGGAAGCAGCACTTGAGGAAATGCGTAAAAAAAATGCAGCAAATCTGAAATACTGAAGGTGGTGGTGGTCTGAACCGTATTCACCTTCATCTCAGTGACTTGAAGAAGAAATTTTGCGTTTGAATGAAGGTGAATATTTCTGGAAAAAGGAGGACCTTGAGGAAATTTATAATGTGTATTTATAAAAATAATTTTCCTACTAAAGACTAGAAATAAAAGACTTGGACCACCAGATTGTGCTTCTGGGACATGTATGCGTATCAGAATACAGAAGAGAGTGTTTTTACTATTTTTAGCATATCCTCTGTATTTTGCATTAAAGGGGTTTCTCTACTAGTCTTAGAAAATAAACTTCCCCAATTTGGAAATTTGTAGCCCATCTGTTAGAGACAGAGTGCAAATAGCACCCTCCCCCCTTGTAAATGTATATTTTTTTGTTTTCTTAATATTTTATACTGCATGACAGCTTTTGTGAATTACTAGGAACTGTCACTTGTCAAAAAAGGTCCATGGTCAGTGTTTAATAAATGCTATTTAAGAGGTTTGGGGATTAGTCTTCAGGCAGTAATGATGCTGATATCCAGGGGAACCAGTACTAACAGCTGCTGAAGTGTACCAGTAAAGTTATTTCGGTACGTGTTTCCTGCAGTTATTGTTGTAAGCCTTTATAAGGCCTTTGACAGATGTGCAATGTTGAAGTTTGGTTGTAGGATTATTTGGTTGTTGGGTAGGGTGGGTTGTTTGTTTTACTTTAATGAGTTAAACTGAATCATTCCTTATTTAAGCAAAAAAGATACATTTCTTTGTCTGTGAGTGGTATCTTTAAGAATTCCTGATGAATGTCTCTTCCGTTAACTCGTTCAGTCTTTATTTGAATGTCTCCTTCGTTTGATGCTGCCTACGTTTTGCATTGTAGAAGAGAAAGAGCACCGAAGCTGTCTTTGCCATCATGATTTTTATAGCTCTTCAGTGTTTCCCCAGCATGTGATGTCATGTGGTCTGGAGGCCTTCTGCTCCTCTCTGTTGTCCATGTCACAGGATGAGCTAGGTTGGAAGAGACTTTCAAGATGATCACGTCCAACCATCAGCTGACCAGGTCCCATCGCTGACCCATGTCCCTTTGTGCCACATTAAATGTTGTCACATCACTGAATTTTTAAGGACTTCATGCAGTTCTTTGAAGTCTTTATTGCTGCTGCCATGAATGCACTGCTAACAGAACGTAGCGTTGCTTTTTCTTACCTAGTTATGGCTTTATTCAACATCACAGATCCCTGTGGAACTTGCTCTGTAAGAGAGAGCAAGTGAGTTACACATACTTTCTTGGTAAATATGCAAAGCACAGAGGCTAATTTATGGGAGGTGGGATTTTTGATCAGTGAATGACACCAATGAGGAAAACATTTGTCTCATCTTGTTCCTGAAAGTATGGAAGCAGCGTAAGTTTGGCTAAGCCTGTCTTGAAGTGTTTTGTGGGAAAAGTGGGACTATTCACTACGTATTGGGTGCGGCGGGTTGACATAAGCCAGCAGAGTTGCTTGCTCATTTACCTTCCCCATTGCGTGAGGAGAATGCAGAAGGCAAGAAGATTTGTGGATTGAGATAAATGCAGTTTCATAGGTGAAGTGAACGTTGTGCATGCAGGTGAAGCAAAATAAAGAATTTAATGTGTGCCATCAGCGGGCTGATGCTTGAACCACTTGGTTGAAGTGAGACCGGCATACATAATGGTTGCTTGGAAAGGTGCACACAGAATCAACAAACACCCATGAAGTTACGTGGCGTGGAGCATCGCTTTGGTAATTTGGGGTCTGCTGTCCTGGTTCTGTTCGCTTCTGTGTTCCTGCTGGAGGGTAGAGTGAAAAACAGAGAAAACCTGGATGCTGGTGCAGGTATTGTTTAGCAACAGCCACAGTGCTGGTGTGTTACCAGCACTGTCATGAACCCAGAATGCTGCACTGTACAGACTGCTGTGAAGAAAGCTGCGTCCATCCTAGCCGGCACACTGGGACAGCAATCAGGAAAGAGAAGCAGCCTCTTGCCTTGTGTCGCGCTGTGCTCACGATGTCTCGCTGAGCTCGCGATGCTCTTCCAACAGATGTCTTCTGTCTATCCTGTCGTCTGTCTTAACATCTTTACATTCTGATGATGTACAGCGAAACAGATCAAGCTCTGTTCATTTATCCTCTTAAATCCTTCAGGATTTAAGTTCTGTGACGTATCACCTTTCTTTCACAACCTCTTTTCCTCTAACAAACTGCTTGCTTACTCCTCTGTTTTCTGTAGAGATTATGACAAAATAGTGAAAATTCAGAGAAGAATCCTTGCTGCAAGGTTTTGAAGAAACGTGATCAGTCAGATTTGTTAGAAAAAAGTGAAGACGGTGGTTCCCTGTGATTGAGTAATGGAAAATGGGCAATTCAGAAAGTTGAAGCCAAGACATCTGTGCAAGAGCAGGCATCTCTCTTGGAGAGCTCTATTGGAAGCTGAGAGGATCTCTGAGAGCGAAGACAAACCTCTTGGTGTGCCGATATGGGAAAGTTGTAGCAGCAAAGTGACTTAACAGCCCAGGACCTTGCAGGTCGTTGGAACTGCTCCTCATGCAGCCATGTTGTCTGTAGCGCAGATTGGGTTTTTCTGCACTGTTCATCCCTTAAAGTCTATGATCTACTGAGCATTTATTTATGAAGTGGAAGCTAGGATCTTGGGAGCACTGATAGTGCCACGGCCACTGCCCTGAGGAGCCAGATCCGTACCTGACCACCAGCTGGTGAAGAACCTTTTTGTGATGTCCAAGCTGAACCTCTGTGCCATTCCCTTGGGTCCAATCAGTGGCCACCAGAAGGCATCGTGCTTGATGTGTTTACACAAAACTCACTTTCATGCAAGTGTTCATGAAGAGACGGTGGGAGTCTTCTAGGAATTGGTGGGCTGAAAGAACAAAAGGCACTGAGCACTGGACACAGCAGGTTGGGAGGCAAAGGCAGCACTGGGCCAGCTGACATCAACCTAATGCGGTGGTCAGAGTGTGTGGACAGAAGAACTATCCCTGCACAAAGGTGTTACTGCTCCATTTGAGGTCAGCCCACCAAGGCACCAGCACTTCTGTATGAGAACACCCAGCTGTCAGAGTTGCTTAGCGTGAGAGGCTGCCTGGAAACTGTGCCAGCAGCCAGCTGCTGCAGACTGCTTTCATCAAGTGATGAAAAGTGCACATGAACATGTGCACATTCACCTTTCAAGCTGTTTTGGATCACATGGAAGTGACCCTGGGTTCCCTGCAACATGTGGGCAAGCGGCTGATTTCCGATGGCAAGGTTGGCAGCGAGAGATGATGTGGAGAAAGAATTTGCAGAGCCCTCAGCTCCCTGCACAGGTGGACGTGGCAGGAATAGAGCAGATGGCGCAGTTTGAAGAGCACTGCTGGCAGGTGGAAGGGGAAAAGATGCTGCTCCAGAAACAAGGCACAAAAGTGGAAGAAGTTACTGCTGGAACATGTGAAGGTCCACCTGGGTCATTACCACAGAGACCGATGTGGGGAAGGAAGTCAGAGTGGAGACTGTGGACGCTTAGAAAAGCACACAGGGGCATCAAGATCACATGCAGGACTCCATTGGTACTTGTAATCTTCCAGCTACCATAGTTCCTGATGTTTAATGCGTTTTGGTTTGTTTTTTTTGCCCATCTGGCAGCAGAGGCCAGCTCCAACGGGAGAGCTGGTGGGATGGAAGCATTCCATGCATCCCAAAGCGCTTGGCATGGGGAACACTGCAGAGAACAGGCCAAGGGAAGTGAATTCTGTGCTGCCTCTCCGTTGGGAAGAGATGACACATGTATCTTTTAATAACCTTCATTTAATTTTTTCATGACATTAGCATGTGTAGAAATGTTACAGGCTTGTGTTCAATACTGATAACGTTGCATTGCTGCGTGGGTTAAAAGCAAAGCCCTTTGTGTCAAGTAGAATACAATCACTTCATTTTTCTTTTATATGTAAAATAAACGCTTAGAAGTACGAACTGTTATTGCTATTACATTCCTGAGTTATGCAGAGAACTCGTTCTCTTTGCCTTCATTAGATGCTCCCTGCTGTCAGCAGCCTCTGCTCATCAGTCGCAAAGCTCTGTGGCGTGTTATAAAGGGTTTGTCCATGCAAGCTGGCAACTGCACGCAGGGAAATTTTCTGTGGAGGCAAAAAAGGGAAGAAACCACAGCTTAGCAGGCTCATCACTTGTTCAGCAGGGACAGTTGGATGAAAGACCAAAACACAGATCAGCTCCTGAACTATCAACCCAATCCTGTGCTGTCCTCCTGGACATAATAAACTTCATAATTCACTACAGCAAACCTCCCATGACTGTGGCAGATTGTGCAAGTGAAGCTGCTTGGAGCTCGACTGATGCTGCCAGTGCAGTAGGAGTGTGCCCTACTGAGGAAGAAAGGACCACTCAGAGCTGTTCACACCACAGGTCCTCCAGCCTTGATGACTGATACACACAAGCTTAGAAGCAGGCAAAGAGATCACCCTGCATCGTGTCAGGCTATTGGAAGTCTGGAGAAACAGAGCACATAACATTAACGTTGATTTTACCTGAAAATCACGAATATAGGTGAGGAAAAAGCTGAGGAAGGAGAATGCTAATGACCACTCGGAGGCAGTACTGACAATGTGAGCCGTGTAGCCCTGTGTAACAGGGAGAGAGAAGGGGAGAAAATAAAATCAGTATGAGAAAGTCTTGGTGGCTCTGTAATGGCACAAAGTTGGCTTGAACACGACGCCCTGCATCTACAACTACTCTGTTCAGAAAGCAAAATCCCTTAGGATATCTGGGGTCTCCAAAAATGAAGTGCTGAACTCAGTAGAAGAGTTTGTTAAAACATTTGTTTTTTTCTTTTTTTACTCACTTTTTCCTGGGGGTCCCAGTGCAACTTTTGCACAAGGTCTGTTCCATACAGGCCACTGTATAAGACAACTGAGGAAACAAACACTGTGGAAATACGTTAAGGAGGATTCAAGACAAGGAAGGAGCAACTTGGAAATTCCAGCCTTGGCACTGGGGTGCTTCAAAGGGAGTCTGTAAGGAGAGCTGTGTGTTCTCTACCAGGTCTCCTCAGCAGAATGAATGCTAACGGAGATGTGAACAGTTCCGCATCGTTTCCTTTGACTTGCAGGTTGCTCCAACATGAAAAGCTTGATTCTAAGTGCATCAGTCATCTTTGCTCTCTGTATACTGCACCTTGTTGTACCTCCTTGATCAACTTTAACATCCGCGTGGAAACACTTAGGCTGTGATGGATGTGCACCATGCTTACCACTTCCAGCGTTGGTTTTTTTTTGAGTTATCCAGCAGTGGATAAGCATTTCTAGGTTTCCTTCTGCCTTCCACTACCAGAAACAACCACTTCTCCCATGGCCAGAGACGACTTCTTGTTACCACTTCTCCCTTATTACATGATGAACTGTTAATTTAGGAAATACTCAATTTCCCTTTGATTCCCCTTCCATATATATAGGTATGCATATATTATTTCTACACTCCCCTCTAATTTTGGTTAGACCATACTGGTTTACAGACCTCAATAGATCTTGTGGGGTTTTTTTGGCATCTGTACAAGGTTCTTAACTTGAATCAGTTCATGTTGCTCCCTTTCAGTCTGCTCCAATTGTATTTGGCTCTTAACTGTTTGGAGCTGAAAATCTCATTCTTCTCTAGCACAAAAAAATCTCATAGCTGACTTCCTTGCCATGTCAAGCCTCGTCCTCCTTGCTTCATTACCAATAACCAGCCTGACCCAAATTATATTGTTTTGCAGTAGCAGGAATGGGAGCTTGGCGATCAGTGAGGTGGTCTATGGCTAAATGTTGGCTTTGGCTGTCAGCCCAGGAATAAATAAAATCAGCAGGGATTAAATAGGTGGCCTCAATTCAACTGCAGCAGGAACAGCATTTAGGCAATGATTTTTGGACTCATGTCTTTGGAATGTAAATTCTAATGCTTTAGTGTTGTAATCGTGTTTGATGCAACTGAGTCACGATTTTCAAAACACAGTGTTTAGGAGTGAACATAGGAACTGCTGGTTCAGTTTCCTAATTGTCAGATAACTCTAGGAGAAATGCTCTGTTTCTGAATGAGTTTGCCTAGATTTCTATGGCTGCTTCCTATGGCTGCTTACAGAACTTCTAACTCAAAGGGAATGATGAGTTACAGAGCCAAAGGAAGGCTGTTGGGAAACTCTGCCAGAAACTTCTTGTATTTTGACTTCTAGGTTGGGCAAGGGAGGAGATGGCAGGTCACATGTCTCTTCTGAATCAACCTTGGCAATGCATTCCACAGCTGCTTCTGTGATAAGTGCCAGAACTTTCTGACCTGCTCAGGGATCCAGCTGTATGAGTGCACTGTGCTGCACACAGTTGGGTTGGCAGTGTTTTCTTTTATGCCACATTTTCTACTTCTCATTCTAGCAGTACCCAATCACAGAACTGCAATATTTTGTTAGCCTGTGACCTGCTAGCAGGCTTACCCTGATGGTGCCCTTTTTTCCTGAAGTTTCCAAGCTGTAAAACTGGATAGAAAAGCCATGATACAAGCTGTAAACCTAAGGATGGTAGGCCTTCTGTAGCACAGTCTGTCCTGCCAGCAGGTTAAACGAACATAGCTGCAAATACAATTGTGGAAGCTGCTCTGTTCCATGGAGGCACGTTGCAGTGAAAGGATACTGCTTGCAATGCTTGAGCAGCACCAGAGCAGCACGGTCAGTCGGATCAAAAAGATGTCTTTGCTGTGAACTTCTGGCTGCATCAAGTAGGAGAGGATGGTCTGAACCAGCATGTAAATGGCTCCCACTCCAAATGTCAGGCAGGCTCCGACCACGTGGATGTAATACAGAACACATTTCTATGGAGAGAAAGAACAGTTTGTACAGAACCTGGTTTAATTTTCAACTCTGGGAATATTTTCCTTCCACAACCTGCTGGTGCTCCATGCACACAGTCATCCTCTCATGTCCCAAACGAAAGAGTTCTGGAATGTGCCAGCACTTAAGAGATTTTCTTGGAAGCCCACAGAGTTAGCTGGGAGCCAACGCCTGGCAGCCCTCCGTATTGCTGCTCTGGGGATGTTGTTGCAGCTCATTTACAGTTCAGCTATATCTCAATTACAGGAATTCATCAACGCTGCCTTCATTATCACGCTGAGCAGTAATACGGAAACTGAATGGAGGAATCCCTGCAGTTGGGAAGGTAACAAGAGTGACAGCAGACTGCCTGCTGAATACTTGTAGCCAGGTAATCTCTGTGTCTATGAAGGATAATGCAACAGAAGACAAACATGACATGCAATTCTAGTCCCCCAAATGAGGTTAAAACCAACGAGCTTTAGCAATTCTCTGAACTACTGCAGTTTAAACAAGCTTTGTTTGTCCTTTCCTCCTATCCCTGACTGAGCTGTGCTAAGGGAAATGAGAGAAAGGTGGAACTTCTCAAGAGCTGCTTTTCCCTGGCCCTAATCCAGCCAGAGAGCAGTGAGCCACTGCAACCTCTAGTGGCTAAAGGCGCTGCTACAGCCCCCTACAGATTCCCCTGTAAAAATACCCTACAGCTGTGGTCCTGTCATCTGGAGACACGGCTTTCACTTCTATAAGGACGTGCAAGAGTCTGCTTCCTGCAGAAAGAGAACTTCTCTTTCTTTCAATGGTTCAGAATTTTGTGACTTGCTGCTCACGCATCCCGGTGGATAAAGAAAATCAGAAATATGTAAGAAACTCCAAATTCAGACTTACTTTTAACAGCTTTCTGTAGAGAATTTGATTAGAAAAACAAACAAACAAACAGGTTTTTCCCTCAAAAGTTTTGCTTTTAATTCCCCCCCTCCCCCATCCCATCTTATCACAGTACACAAACACCCAACTCTGGACACAAACCTGGAAATTTGCAATGATGCAAAGTCCAAAGCAGCTCATCAGTCCCAGCACAAGGCCAATCTTATTAAGCTTGATGATCCTGGATTTGTCTGGATTCAAAGCATAGACTTGTTTGTAACGGACATACATGGTGGCCATACCTAAGAATGAAGAACCCAAATGCAGTAAACTGTGTTTTTTCCTTTTTTTAACTGAGAATGTGCTGAGTGATGGGGGCACCTGTTTGAAGTATAAAAACTGCCCTAGGAAACGTGGGAATGTGGAAGTCAAAGCTGACATAACTGACCTACTAAGGTTTTCTGGTCTTCACTTGAAGAAGTACATTGATTTTTCTCTCTGTAACCAAAGCTCAAGTAAGATGACTTCCTTAATTCTGCATTGATATTCCTCTTACCACTATTCCCTCTCTTTCTTATTCTCTTTCTTGTTTTCTTTCTTATTCTCTCTCACTCTCTCTCTCTGTTTCTTCCTTTCTTCCTCTCTCTTTCTCATGCATTTTTAGCCTTCTGGAATCTGCAGTTGGTAGGTAACATCCCTGTGATATATTTTCCTCTAAGTCACTTAACAGAAATAAGTTAACTGCCTGAAATTTAGCTTTGATGAGAATTACGGGCTGTTTAATGATCTTAATAAGTAAACAGTTTAAAACCATGTGATCCCAGAACTGTGTGCAGCTTGCCAGGGACACCTTTCTCTACTCACCCAGGAAAGATGAAACATTTAACATGATCCCAAATAAGCATCTCTCAGGAGGTATTGTCCCTGTATCACTGGAAGAAAGAAATGAATACTAAAAATATTTGCAACTCAAGTTTCCTTTTCAGTCTACAAAGAAACCATAAGAAGCATGCTGTTCTTAGAACCAGGAATGAACATTTTTGGTATATTCCTTTTATTCTGATCTTCATTCATCACAAAAGCTGAATAAGGAGTATTAAAACCTGGAAATGTATAAGAGCCTGGAAATCTGAAAGATCAAAATTAGAGGCACACGTGTACAGCCTCAGTGTTCTGCAGTTGGAAATGTAGATTGTATGAATGTTACCAACCTGATGTAGGGCACCAGAGGGTCAACATGGTGGAGGACGATTGCAGTGATGTATGAAAACACAAATGTTGCTGCTGACCAAACAACCAAAGCCGCGGGCAAGAAAGAGAGGCCTTGCTGAAACCACCACATTTCAGCGCTGACTTCCAACTCCGAACACTGTGGAGAATTGAACAGAAATATTTACTAACAACATTTGGCTTTTCTGAGGCAAACTGCCTATTCGTATGGACTGCAGGTGCTGCCAGGGATGGCTCTTCTCATCACAGAGGCTGTGCCAGGATGCATCTGTGCATATGTGAATGCATTTGGTGTCGCTCTCAGTCCTGTCCTGCAAAGCCAATGTGAGTATCTGACCTCAGGGCACGGAAGCAATCGTAAATAAACAGAAATAACATCTGGAAATGTTAACTCTGAAATTCTTAGAAGAACATGAGAAAAGAAATCAGTGACCAATGTCACTTTGCTGCATGTCTTGGCATTTGTTGCTGCCAAAAGAAGGTCAGATGGGTCACTGTGAATAACTGACTCTATTTTCTTCTCACCCTTGCATCGGAGAGTCACAAATCACCTCGGTTGGAAAAGATCTTCAAGATCATCCAGTCATAACACTGTGTTAGAATTAACGAGGCTGTGACAGAGGACGTGTGCTGATAGTGACAATTTAACTGATAGTAGCTCCTATAGAGCCTCTCATTTCCATTAACAATCAGCTGGGCAGACATTGAGAAAACAACCTAAAATTACTTCAATATCTGCACTCATTTAGTGCCTGTCATGCTGTGTGACTCAACATCTGTTACAAGAATCACTTAAATAAGATTGCAGATACCTATGAGCATGAGCTGACTGCTACCAGCCACAACCTTTGAACTCAAGAACTGATGACTATGGGTGGAAGAACTGTGCTGCAGTTTTACAGGTGGGAGGGAAAGGTCCATTTACAGTGGAGTTAAACTGCTAACTATGTATTCACATGCTATCCAGTTCTGGATCTGTGAATGGAATACGAGACAGCGAAAAGGAGAAGAATAACAGAGAATGCAGATCCAAGGGCATCCCAGACAAAGATCTAGCAGCATGTGAGAAAAGACCAATAGCACTATGGGAATATAGAAATAAGGCAGCACTGAGAGGCTTTAGGAGGCATGAAATGCCTAAAAGGCAGGAGACGAGCAAAACAAAGAGAGAGAAAGAGGCAGGAAGCACAATTAATATGTTTCACAGGAGGGAAAGGAATTTGAAAATAGAGAAGAGTGAATCTTGCGACAGAGCAGAGCTGATCGCCTCCCACACATCTCAGCACTGCTGCTGTGTACATCCTGCGCGCTGCTGCTGCTTGCTCCCAAGCATCTCTTCCCAAGGTGCATCTTTCTGCTGACCTCCTCCACCTGTGTGTCCAGGGAAGCTCACGGAAGCCCAGCTCTGCAGATTCATCAGCTAATGCCGCATAATGAGCATTGCTCATTTGCAAGAAACTCGTCACTGCCTCGTGCCTGTGCTTCCTTGAAGCCTACAGTATCAGTGGTTCAAACAAGGCACGCTCCCGGGACAAAGCAACAGCCACCCATGACTGATAGACCTTGAAAAGAATGAATTACATCCTTATAAAACTAAAGGTTCAGCTGCTCGTAAGGAAGACATTAGGTATCGGATAACTACATCTTAAGAATAAAGTGACCACTGAAACTGCTTGCTTTCTGACCCTTATACTTTCATTTTTAAGCTAAAGATAATGTAACATTTGTCCTCTAATGTTGACTTTCATTTAAAGGCCCTCATGCAAAACAGATCATAATGAATATAACTTGAAAATCCCATATCTCAAATGTGTGAATTTGGAATCTGCATGAAAGAAATGTATATTTTGCACAGCAATCTGTTTCCAACTTCAAAGCAACTTCGGGAAGTCAGTCTGGTACCTGCATTTTGATTTGCCTTTAGCATTTAAATGTTATCAGTGCCTTAGCACTATTTCTGAACTAACAGATTTTTGCCTGAAAACAAACAAACAAACAAACAAACAAACATGTCACATACCTGAGAATAAGGATGTTGAATGAATTCCTCAAGAGGAATCCAGAGTCATCTTTCTGGTGAAGCTCCCCATCCACTTCATTTTCCCCTAAATGGTTGAGATATGAAGGAAAACACTCCAGATGTGAGGTAACTCTAAATCTTTTCATCTACACTAGTCTCTTTCTTAGCATCTTCTGTTAGGCACTGCCACAGGACTCTGGGTAGGTGCACTTTTGGCCTGACTCAATGTTTTTTCTATTCTTAAGTGGTTTAAGAAGTGAAGCACCTGTATGGTGGGACAGCAGCAATGCAGGAGAACAGGTTGAAGACTTTTGGATTCATATAACTTGTCTATAGAAGGGTTTAACTTGAAATGAGAAGCTTTCCAGCAGAAACCTGAAAGCGACTGTTCCAATGGAATTAAAATGGTTCCAGTGCAATTAAACTGTTCCCAACTGATTACTGTGGGTATCCCCATGATCCATCCCACCCCACAGCTGGAGGCAATGCCCTGCACACAAATCACCACCATTTGCATGTGGTCAGGTGCACAGAGCAGCGTGGCAGCTGGTTGCAACGTGAGAGCTCTGCTGAGCTCGCTGTACAGCTGCAGGATGCTGTGCAGAGGCAGACCTGCTGGCCAGCCCTGCAATTAATTATGATTAGCGCCTCATCCTGTCCTATTGTTTTCAACAGCAAGGAGTAAAACACACTCAGCCTCCTGCTTTTTTTCCAGCGAGGCCCTTTGCCAACTGATGATATCACGGCCATGGGCAGCCTCTCTCTTCAGGATTGTTTTCTAAAACCTGTATCCTGTTTTGTAGACATGTCTGTGTGCTAAACGGGGAAGGGCTGACCCTCAGGTAATACCTGTGACAGTATCGTATCAAACCATATCGAGGGCAAGTCGAGGAAGGGCATTAAAAGCGCAGAGCTTTCTTTATGCACAGGAAATGGGCAGCAGCACTGAGAGCACACGGAACAGAAACTACAGAAGTAACAAAAATAAAAGACAACCGAGATCACAAAGGGCAAAAAGTTAAAGGTGGAAAAAGCAGAAAGCACATGTGGAAATGGGAGAATTCTGAATCCGTGCTGGGACAGGAAAAGCACTGCCAGCCTCTCCCTGCGCTCCCAGCCCCGCGGGCGGTGCAGCCCGGCAACGGGCACTGCGAAAACACTGCGGTGAGGGCAGAAAGAGAAAGTGTGTGTGCTCTGCGAGGTTGGACGGGGACGAGTCGCAGGGGGACACGGCAGCGATCCCTTGCACAACTTGTTGTCAGGGTCAGACCGATAACAGCAGATAAAGGTTGGGAACCTGCAAAGGAGCAAAGCGAGAGCGCGGGGAATGGACGGGCTGCGCTGCTCGCACGGCTCAGCGACGGCAAAGGGCTCGTTTTGAGCGTTTTGTCCATCCAGAGCCCAACAGCTGCTGCGTCGTGCGTGGGGGTGAGCTGCTGGGGGCCGAGGGCTGGATACATGGGTGGACGGTGATGGGACAAGGGGACGGTGTTCAACTGAGTTCAGGTTGGATATCAGGAGGAAGTTTGTCAGCCAGAGGGCGGTGAGGCACTGGAACAGGTTGCCCAAGGAGGCTGTGGACGCCCCATCGCTGGGGGCATTGAAGGCCAGGCTGGATGTGGCTGTGGGGGGGTCAGGAAGGAGGGGAGGAACCGAGGGGGTAGGAGGGCGGAGGGGCTGAGCGGGAGCAGCCGGAGGCGGCCGGGCGGTGCCGGGAGGTGAGCGGTGAGACGAAGGGTGTCTGGGAGAGGCGGAAGGGAGGACGGAGCGGGCCGGGACCCGCCAGGCTCAGTGTGCGAACCCCAACCCAGCCCCCTCCCCGCGCCCCCGCGCCGTTACCTCAGCCGCTCCCGCCCCGGCCCCACGCGCCCTGCCCCGCCCCCACCCATTGGCCCCGCCCCTTCCCCGCCTCATTTCCGGCTGTCGCAAAAGCGGCGTAAAGCACCGCCGGGCGGGGAGGCCGAGGTAAGGCTGCGCGCGTCCCGCCGCTCTGTGCGCTGTCGGGGGGTCCCGCGGGAAGGAGCTGAGGTGTAGCTGCGGGGAGGGCCGGAGGGCCGGGCTGGAGACGAGGAACGGGCACCGCCGGGCCGGCCTGCTGCGCGTGTGGAGCCGGGCCGGGCCTGGAGGTGCCCCCCCGACAGCTCCGGGCTTTGTGGGCTGCGGGGCGGCCGGGCCGCGTCCCGCACTGCGCCTCGGTGCTCTGCTTGGCCGCGGGAGCCCGGGCTGCGTTTCCCGAGGCCGGGCGGGCCGCGAGCCGCCGTGAGCCGCTGTGCCTCCGCTGCCGCCTCCCTGCGGAGCCGCGCTCTGCTCCCCACTGCGCCCTTCTTCCCGCTCGTGAAGCTCCGTGCTGTCAGAAATAGCCTTAGTTAACTGCAGCGGGGCTGGAAGTTGCTGTGTGCTTGTTCTTACACCGCAGTTGACCTTTGATTTACAGCTGATTCTTGCTTAACGGTTGATTCTGTTTATTTACATAGGCTGACCCTCATCTAAAAAGCAAACTTTCCTTTTCGGTCTTCACCACCTCTCTGTTAGTCTGTACAGAGGGTTTTGTGTTGTTGGAGAGCTGGGATACCACAAAGCTCCTCGTGCTGGAGGTGCTGCTCCTGGCCCCCTGTCTTCTCATTGCAGCTCTCTTTGATAGCTGGAGCTCTGCATATTTCTTACTTAAGAGTTGAAAGAAGCAATGAGCTTTCAGGTGGTTTGAGTTACACTTAAGGAGAAGTGGGGGCAAAAAACCAAACGTGCTTATTCCTCCTTAACGGGTTTCTTACTTCTCACCAAAGAGGCAAAGCTGCTTCAAAGCTGCTGAACTTTCCCTTTATTTGTATTGCCATCAATTGATAAACTGAGCAGGGAACGTGGGCTGTGTGTACTGCCCTAGGGAGCTGTGAGGGACCTGGCTGTGCCTTGGTCTGTAACATTGGGCAGCAGTGTGCTGCAAGCTTCTGCTGCTGATGAAATTTAGGCAGGTGGCTGCAGGATATTTGATTCTGTAGGCAGCAAAAAAGGTAAACAGTATAACTTGCTACTTTATGACTACATTGAGAATGTTCTTTCCTGTCTTCCCTCAACAGTTCTCCAAATATCCTTCTTTTCTAAGGTAAAACTCTTCTACGGTCATCCTGGCTTGCTGCAGGCAAAATGAGATGCTCTGTGGAGCATTAAAAACTCCTGATATTTCAAACATCAGTTTATCTCAACCCTTTATGTTGCAGGATCTTAATGATTCTCCGTAACAGCTGTTACCTGCCAAATAAAAACTCTGAGGCCACCCAATCCATGAGCGGGCATCGGAACCTCAAGAGGCGATGCGGGGAGTCGCACCTGGAATCCCCTGCAGGCTGTGCCCACGGTCCTGCTGCTGCCTGTGTGCTGAGCAAGCTAGTTCAGTTGCCTACACCTCCCTTGTCAAAGCACCAGCTGAAACGGTTAGAAGAACACAAATATCAGAGTGCTGGACGGTCGCTGCTTGAACCTCTAATGCAAGGTTACTGGGAATGGTTAGTTGGAAGAGTTCCAGCCTGGATTGCCCCAAATCTGATCACCATCATTGGACTGTTAATAAATATATTCACAACCCTGCTATTAGTATACTACTGCCCAACAGCTACAGAGCAGGTAAGTTCTGGGCCTCTGACAGCCTGTGTCGTTGCTGTGATCTGATAGTGGTTGGCACTGTTCCCTGCTGGGCTCCAGTGTTTATGGGGAGCTCTCTCTCCACAAGTAGCCCACAGTTGTCATACAGATGGTTGTGATGCTGGTGCTTGCATGCAGGAAGAGCAGTGTAGGTTTTGGGGAGCGTGTGTTCTGCTGAGGGCTGGTGGAAGGGTTCCTGTGGGCCATCATATGTTGTGTGAAATGGAGTCCAGTACCAAAATAGCTGTTGGGGCAGCAGCTGTGATGGACCTGCTGCATGGTGCTGCAGCCCCTCAAGGATATGCTTGAGTTCATTTTGGTCTAGAGGGAGGCATCCCTGCCTACAGCAGGGGTTTGCAACTAGATGATCTTAGAGGTCCCTTCCAACCCAAACCATTCTGTGATTCATGTGCAGGCAACTAAAAAATCTACGTGTCTTGCTTGTGTAGCTTTTGTCCTGTTTTCCTGTTTGCTTTCCCTGTTTGTGACTGGGTTAGTCACTTCACCTATCTGAGTTGGAGTTACTACACAACAAGAAGAGCAGGGTGACTTGATCCGTGGTTAATTGAGTGCTGCAAACCCAGCTAGAGTTGCAAAACAGTGAGCAATGTTAGATCAAACCAGGGACTGAGCACTGGCAAAATGGTCTCAGGAGATCAGGGCAGGCTGCTTCCTCCATGGCTGATGTAACTGACCCCTCTGTGCTGCACTCAAGGAGTGTCCTTCTGTATCCTCTGTGGTCCTGGCACCCTGTGTTATGGAGCAGCTCGGATGAGGACTACAGGCACAAGGAGTTATGTGCTATGGGAGCACAAAAACATCCCATGGAGCAGCATGTCACTTGAGCAGCCTGCGATGTGAGAAGGCTGGGTGAGAGCCAGGAGCTGTCTGCTTTGTGCTGGGTGTACTAAATGCTCGTGACCTGTTCTCAGGTCTCACCTTCTCGTAACTTCTGGTTTCAAGGGTGCAGACGTCTTTATCAGGCATTTCAAGTTACTGGCTTTGTGAACTCTGTAAAACTTGTGTAGGTTGATGCTGTGCACCCCAGCTGCTTCCTGGTTCAGGCAGCAGCATTGCTATGTGACTGTAATTTGCTGCTTGCTTTGATAACAGTACAAGGCACTGAACCTGAGCTTCATTTAGAGCACAGTTGTATTGTGGTTAGTACTTCTGAAGTTCATGCTAAGCAAGCTGTGGAATCATACAGCTGTGCTTGGCTGTGTTACAGTCGCTACACGTTTAACAGCTTGGGAGTTGCTTTGTGCTTGGTGGGTTTGCTTTCTCACTTGGCTGAAAAGGGGCTTTCTGCTGAGGTGGTGCTCAGCCTGATCTCATTGCCCTGCAGTGGGATGCCAGCTCTGTGCTGGAGCTGCAGGATTCTGCTTTGAAGTGTCAGGCAGCTGTCTGGGGTGGAAGTGGGACTTTGGGATTCTAGAAAGACAGTTTTCTTCTGAAAGCAGCGTTGCTTTGAGGTGTAAATTGGCTCTTCCTTACAGCTCTTAGTTCTGCTCTTTTTGAAAGCAGGTTGGCTACACCTTTTGTCAACAGGAGGAGTCATAGGAATGTAGCTTGCCCTTACAGATATGCTAGCAGCTAAGAGAAAATGCAAGCAGTTTGAATAGAGACTTGGCTGAAAGCAGAGCAGGTGGCAGCTTTAGAACAATGCAAGAGGAGAGAAAGCTGGATGTGCTACAAATGAGTCAAGGCTGCGTTGGCCAGAGGAAGCCAGGCGGTTTGACGCCTTCTGTATTTCTATGGGCATACAAATTGCTATACAGAATATGAATGCTAAGGGTTATTAGCATAGATTTGGCAAAGCTGCTCTTACACAGTAGTAAAAATATGGCAGCATGCTGTGCTGCAGAGCCCTGAAGCTTGGCAGATCTCAGGAAGTGCAGTTCAACCAAAGGTCTGAACAAGGTGAAGGTGAGCTCAGTGTTTGGGAGGCAGTTCCACATTCTGGGGGCTGAGAAGGTGTTCAAGTTCCAGCGTTGCTCAGCCAGCTTACAAATTCCCCTATGGGAAATAGGGGCTAGAAGGGTGTTACTGTCCTGCTTTGCATGTGCTGTTGGTGTCTTTTTTCAGACACAGCTTCCTGCTTAGAAAGTGCACTGCACCAATTAAACTTAGTAACAAAGCAAACCATTACATGCTGTTTCACATTCCCCAACTCCCTCTGTCCGGCCCTCCAAGCTACTGAAAGATCCATTCATGTGCCTTTATAGACCTCTGGGTGAAGGAGTGTGTGAAAATGCAAAGCTGTAAAGCGAGTTTCAGGTTGTCTGAAGTTAAACTACATCCTTACAGTTTAAAACACCTCTTACCCTCACTGACAATTTCTTCCTTAGGCACCTCCCTGGGCGTACATTGCCTGTGCTTGTGGCCTTTTCATCTACCAGTCTCTGGATGCTATAGATGGGAAGCAGGCAAGGAGGACAAACAGCAGCACTCCTCTGGGAGAACTTTTTGATCATGGCTGTGATTCACTTTCTACAGGTATTGTCACTTTTTTTGTAATTGAAGTATGAAGATTAAGTCAGTATTTCAAGGATGAAATCTGGACTATAGGAGCAGTTCCTTTACTGAGCTGTGGGTTGTTTAGTTTTCTTTCTGCAGACAGTGTTGATCAGCTGAATGTCTTCTCAAGCACCTCACTAAGTCCAGCAGTTCTGTGTATGCTTTCTCAGTGCTGTGAAAATTGACTGTAACAGACAGTGGAAGTGCTCTGCTGTATTAACTTAGCTCTAATTTGTACAGGATGATTACAGGGCACGTTTGGGGCAGGGGAAGGCTGAGTTTGGGTGGTGTTGGTCAGGTCACCTCCCTGCCCAGTAGGTGGGGTTCGCTGAACCAGCCTGAAGTTCTCCCTTGCTGAAGGAGATGATC